AAGTTCATTCAGATTCCACCCGTTCTTCATAAATCGCGGCTTCATTTTCTACAATTAATACACTTTACAAACACACTACATCCAAAAAGTTTTTTCGCCACCCAATAACGAACTCTGTCATTGCCTTTTGCATGTTAATTCACTCTTACTTAACAAAAAGGATATCTCTGGGTTGGGCTGAGCTAACAAATCTTTCATTAATCTCTCTTCAGGAGGAACATACGAAGAATCAATCGAATATGGCATTAAGTTGGAAACTGTTCATCAAATCCTTTTTTTTTCTCTCTTACGTTTGATTAGAAGCGATTCATCAAAATTCCGAACTCCTTCTTCTTTGTTCAATTCCATATCCTTGAAAGGATTGGAATTAGCTGCACTCTCAGGTTGACCGGTTTGGTCGGTTTCTATTTTTGCCGTTTCTTTCTTCTCCTCAGACTCCAACGTCAGTCCCAATTCTTCAGACGAATAGGACGATTCTGATTCTGATTCTGATTGTTAAGTGAATCAACCAATCAATCGAATACCATTTTCAGCTTCACTTTTTGTTTCCTTTTCAATCGACAATGAATCGATGTTATACTTCTTCAAGATCGGCAGTATTGACGCCTCCAGATCTTTCTATCCATCACTCTTCTCTCCGATCCGCACGATTCGTTTCTCTGGTGGATTGATTTCGCCTCTATACACGCGAAGCAACGTCGTTGCTGCTTTTTTCACTGTCGCAATTTCCCGATTCAACACCACTCCCACCGTATCCACGTCGTATCCTCGCTCCTTCAACACTCTGCGTCCATAAATATCGTCGTACTTGTTACAGCGAATGGAGCAGGGAATCTAATGACCAAATTCGCGTTGAGTCTACGCAAAGAATCACGTTGTCGTGGTTGTTGTGGCTTTTCCATTTGTCTGGGAGGAATTTTCGGAAGCGATGCGGCAAAATGGAATGGCAGACGTAGTTCGAATTGTTTCCGCACACCACACAGCAGTTATCTTGAGAGTACAGCTTGGCAGAATTACTGGGAACACGGGCTATGTGACATTAGATTCGGTTTTCATTACATTTTGGCTCGAAATTAAGTCGAACAGAGAACGGATCTTCATTCACGATTGCTACAATTCATCCAAATCACTCATCCGTACTCCCGATTCCTTTGTTCACGTACCACATCAGTTTCTTCTTACTGCACCGACACAGCAATTGATTATCCGGAGACACTTCGTTATACAAAACAAACAAGCCTTACAGAGTTGGCAATCCTCATAGACTGGGTTTTTCCGCTTGGAATAGCCTCCCAGCTTCAATCCCTCGATTTGATTCAGTTGAACGGACGAATAATGCGTTCCGTTCTTGTCGACCACTCGAATTCGCACATTGTGACACGACGATTGGCTATTCGATGTCTAATGATCGTGGAAACGGAGAAACTACGAGATGATGGTCAGTGACCCAATCAAATGGAGTAAAAGGATTTTGCGTGGAACTGCGGTATTTTGAGTAAAAATAAACGAAAAGTTCGCGAGAATAGTAAGAATCATGCGCTGCATACAAAATCTGCTCGTTGCTGAGAGTTTGTGCATCCCAATTACCGCATCGGATCTTGTTGTCTAGTTTTAATGGGTGAAAATGGATGTACCTTTATTGAGTGTAATGCCAAAATACTTAGATGTGAGATATTGAAGGCTGGTCTTCAGATCTTTATGGCCCATTAGTTTGGCGATGTCACTACAATAATATAATGAAGAATGGGTAAAGTACGTAACGTCGACAATGCTATTTACTTCCTCAACACCTAGGTATGAACACAGTTTGTTACAGTCTTCATGAATGCCGATTCCAGATTTCAATATTCTAAATTGTAAAAAAATGAATGTACAATCTACTTTTCGTCTTTCATTATAACGTTCAGAGAAGGAGGTGGCAATTCATCCAGAAGAGGTACCTGGATAATAATGTTCACATTTCGGAATGTTAGCTGAATGATCGAGAGAGGATTCTATAGATTATGCGAAAAACAGAAACTATTGCTTTCTGTGTCCATTCAGCGTCAAAACCAACAACTGTTTCGTGTAGTAAATCAAACTTCTTAACCAACATCTCAAATTGTTCTGATGTGTGGACAATGTAGATCTATGCAATGAAATACCAAACATTACAAATACAGGACGGCCTTCGATTGATACCGATGATTTGCAGGAATCAATGATGTGAGACTTGCGAAAACGTTTCCATAAGTAATAGGAAAGAGTTGCAACTCCTGCTACTGCAGAAAATCCGATAATAACTTGCTTTGATCTTTGTTGCATTGAAAAAGTAAAAAAATACTATTGAAGAATAAGAGCAGGCAGATTTTCACGTTTTTGTAACAAAGAAGCGAAATGATTGAAATAGTATGCTTGAGGGTCGGACATGTCTACTTTTTATCCTTCTTCTCCTTTTTGTCCTTCTTTTCTTTCTTTTCCTTCTTGTTCTTCTTTTCCACCTTCTTGTTCTCTTTCTTCTCTTTCTTTTCCACTTTCTTCTCTTTCTTGTCCTTCTTCTCTTCCTTTCTTGGTTTCTCTTCTTTTACTGGCTCCTCCTCTTTCTCTTCTTCTTCTTCCATTTCCTCCTCCTCATCTTCTTCTTCCTCTTCAAACTCTTCCATTTCCTCCTCCTCATCATCAAACTCCTCTTCATTCCCTTCCCCTTCCATCGATCGCTTCATAATCCGCTTCCACCCTTCATTCTCTTCGATCTCCTTCATCAGCGCCCCCATCTCCAGTTTCGACGTTTCTCCCGTTTCTTCGCCCACCACATTTCCGTTCTCATCGATCTCCATCACTTCCACTTCGTCATCCGACGTCAATTCCATCTGCTCTCCTTCTCTCTCCATTTCTTCCACCAATTCTTCGTCCGTCTTCTCTTTATCCGGTTTCTTTCCCCCCAAAATCGGATCCAACATCGCTTTCTCTTCCTCCGTCAGCAGCGACTCCATCGTTTGCTTCCCCAAGCGGCGTAAAATCAGCTCGAAAATCGCCTTCACGCGCAGCTTGAAGTTCCCGTAATGAGCATTCGACCAGGGCTGCAGCGCTCCGATCGCCTCGTGCATTTCTTCGCGCACAATCTCCTCGGGAAGCACCTTCACGCAGGTCCGAATCAACCCAAAGCACGCCTTCGCGACCTCTCGATTCTTCGATTCGAGCAGTCCGTAAGTGATGTGCATCGCGTCTCGCATCAGCGGAACGATCGCTTCGTTCGATCGGTGATGGAACAGCACGCAGCTGATGCACATCAGCGAAGCCGACTGCATGCGGCCCGACGTCGCGCTCAGGCCTCCCATTAAAATCCGGAAATACTCAGAGAGCGACGCGGGCACTTCTTCGCCGGTGGGCTGCACGAGATTCGCGGTGGAGGACGCCATGACGTCGGAGAGAGAGAGGAGGATCTTAAAGCTGAGCGTGCGTACGGATTGATTGGCGTCTTTGATGCATAGAATGAGGCGAGGCAGGACTTGCACGATGAGCTGCATATGGTCTTTGTTTTGAGGCGAGAGATGACTCCACAGAGAATGGAGCGCTGTGAGATAGTCGAAGCGAACGTTCACGACGGAAGACAGCAGGCGATCCAGCAGCTCGGTCGAAATCGCGTCCACGCGGTTCGTTTCGAAGAGAAGTTCCGCGTGGTATTCGCAGAGAAGCACGAACGACCGGCTCGATCGGTTCTGAAACGCCACGGCACGGATCTTCGGCGCCGTTTCCATGAGGTAGGACAGCGCGGCGGGGACTTCTTCGCTGGCGATCCATGGAATGAGCGCAGAAAAGACGCCCGCCTCGGCGAGGAGGTCGAGCGAAAGGGTCGGGTTTTGGTCGATGGACTGCTGCAAGGAGGCGAGCGATCGGGCGAAGAATTGCGAAATCACGGCAGGCGGAGCGACGCCGAAGAGCGTCTGCAGGACAGAGCGGAGCGTGAGAGCCATGAAGCGATCGGCGTTCTTCGCCACGCCGCTCGTGGGCACGATTTCTTGGTCGCTGGCTCCGTGGGAACGGCGGTACAACGCGATGATGGCTTTGAGGAAGGACTCGCTGGCGGATCGAAGGGCTTGCAGGGCGGATTGGGACTGCTCGATGGAGGGTCTGGGCGCTCGCGAGGAGGCGAAGAGAGTGAGATAGGGAAGGGACTGCTCGTTGGGCATCAAATCCGACTGCGTTTTCGATTTTGATTCTTCGGGTTTCTCCTGTTTCTCCAGTTCTTCTTCGGCTTCCTCCCTTTCGATTTCGATGTCCTTCTCGATTTCGATTTCCTTCTCGATTTCGATGTCCATGCTTCCCTTCTTCCCTTCCTTCTCGATCCGATTGCTCATCGCCAGCATCGCTAATCCGCACGCCACTTGCACTCCGGCCTCCAGATTGCTTTCATCATTGATTACCTTCAGCAACGCTTTGCGGTAGCGCGGCAGCACATCCGAAACGTCCCTCGCTCCCACGCAGCACGACGCGAACACGCTCCAAATACTCGCGATTTCCTTCAGGAGCTGCTGCTTCTGCGTCTCGTTCGCCGCTTCCGACGCCGCAGCGGCGCATGCTTTCACCGCGGGAGAGAAAAGATCGAAGAACTCAGCGAGCGACGTGGCGATGTGAATCAGCGAATTCTTCAAAACGGCAAAAAGGAAGTAGTGTTTGTCGTCGGGAAGCGACGAGTCCGCCTTCTATTCTCAATTCCAGCGCGGATTGCTACGATAAACGACGTCGTTTCCACGAACTGCTTCAGCCCCATCGCCTCCACCGCGCTGCCGAGCGTTTCATCCATCTGACTGCGAAGTCTACGCCTCAGAATTCCATCGAATCCGCACGCTGCGCTCAGTTTGGCGCCTTGTTCTCGCATCGACACCAGCGACTGCACGAGCGGCTTCAAGCAAACCGATTCGCTGGGCTTCACTCGGGCCGCGAACGCGCTCGCCACCTTCAGCACGCTTTCTTTATGCGGTTTCCCCATTTCTGCTTTCATCAACGCGCCCAATCGCGTGAATCCCGCGGGGGAGAGCGACTCCGAGTCGATGTGGCTCCACAGAGAAACGAGATCGCTTTCGACGCGGCTGACGACGCTGCTCTCTTTGGATTGGAGATAGCTCATCGCTTTTTCGATGGCTTCGCAAAACAACTCGCTGTTCTCGCTGTTCTCGCAGAGATCGAGCTGCTGGGAGAGCGTGAGAATCGTGGAAACGAACTCGAAAATGTCGGCGGGCGCCGCGGAGAGAGCGGCAGGGTCGGAAAGAATGGATTGAAGCACGGTGTGGAGGGAGTTGGGAGGGAGAGGCACGCCTTTCTGGACGAGGAGCTTGATGGGCTTTAAGCTGTTGGTGTCCATGTAAGCGAGTTTGTGTGAGCGAAGCTAGGGGAAGAGAAGGGAAGAAAAACGACTTCGATTAGAAGGGAAAGCAAGGCGGGGAATGTGGAGGGGTCGAGAGACGGAGCGGCTTGAGCGACGAACGCTAAATAGTGGGAGATTTCCTTGTAGTTGGTGTCGTCGATTTGTTCTTTCAGGTTGCGGAGGTAGGACACGATCATGTCAGATGTTTCTGCAAAATGCTCCTCGCTGTGCTTCGTGACGATTTTCATTAACTCGTCCTGCGAAGTACGACGGATCTTTCCGTTCTCATGAATGCAGAAGCTGAGGAGGAGGAGGAAACTCTTTTTGACTGCACCGCGACTCCACATATCCTTTGAACATTCTAAGGAGAGCAAAAGGGAGGTAAGGCACGAAATCAGGGAACGGAGGGAAGCTGGCTCCATCGTGCTGCGGTTCTTCATGTAAAACTGCAGCAGAACATCCAGCTGCTCCGCTGTCTTCATCTTCTCGGGGACATGAGGCAAAACGATCTGGAGGAGGTACAGATACTAATCATAAGCGAAGGAAAATGCACCGAACGCTTCGAACAAACTTTTGCTGTGATTTGAGTTGCGCCAAGAGGGTGGTAAAATACTTGGTGAACGAGATTCTCCTCTTCTTTCCGTTGGTGATACTATTTTCGAGAGCTTCAAGCGCTCTGCAGTTTTCCGCCTTGAACTTGTCCTTGCTTTTGGCATGCTTTCGGACCTCTTCGTAAATATCCACAGTCTCTTCTGAACTCATCGTTTTCAAAATCTGCCGCTTTTGTTCCGACTCCAATAAAAGTCCCGATTTCCTAGTGTGTTCATTCGCTCTCTCCAACAAACAACGAAAAAGCAGATAGCATGGTACAAACAACTATTTTACTTCGCTTTCTCTGAAACCACCTTGGCAACGACCAGTGTACAGTCATCCATTTTCCCTCCTCGATACACCAGGTCCAAATTCTGCGTCGCAACCCGCGACCACGGCGTGTCGGCCTTCTCATCCACCGCAACCTTCTGCGCCATTTCGCAGAGATACTTGCACATCATGTCTAATGGAACGTGCTGAAAGCCCCAAATATACGATACGAGCAGATCGTCGTGCAAATTATCGAAAATCCTGCGGTTCAGCGCATTGCCGAGGCCCTACCCGTCCGATCCGCACACCACAATATCACCCGCCTGCAGATGAATCGAGCGAATTACGCCGTCGTCCGGCTTGTCTCCGCCCTGGCTGCCCAGCTGGAACGGACATCCGAAATAATGCTGCTGCTCGGTGGAGCGGTAGAAGATGGTACCTTCTCGAATCACCATGATGCTGATCATGAGCGACCCTCTCCCACGATCCTACCCGATATCTCCGATAATCAGAGTGTGTAGAATGTGACTGTAGCGGTTGAGGATGTGGAAGCCGAAGGTGCAGCTGCCCTGCGTGTTCTTGTCAATGTCATCTTTGACCAGTTTGACACATTCGACAGGATCCACGATGCCGAATTCGTCCACTACATGAAACACGAAACACAAAGCCACTCATTCGCTCACTGCCTTTGAGCAGCTGACGGCCGTATTCTTTCGAATTCGCGTTCTATGGCTCAGTATTCCGACGCGTTCAAACCTCGATGTGCACGCCATCCGCCACGCCCAGCATATGAAATCCATTGCCTTTGGCTTTGACTCGATCGATGTACGTGAAGCTGTCCTCGCAGATGTCCTTGTCTTGCGATTGCAGAGTGTAGCCTCCGCATAAAAAACCCAGGATTTTGCCTTCGTCCTTCCTCTGGGAGTTCTTTGCTTTGTAGACGGGGAGAGAGATTTTTAGGTCCCTGCAGGTTAAACAGAGTGCGAAATCGAACATGATGTTATCTTGACCATCAATAAAATGACCGCATGGAAAATAATAAGAACGGTTGTTTTCGTCTGCAATACTGATGCTTTGGAGGAGCCATCCCGAGGCTGTGCCGATGTTCGTATGACCCACCTTTACTTGCGTTAATTCACCAAGATCGTGCTTGATTTTCAGAGGGACAACTACCGAACTTCCGCGAGTGAACGACCTTCCGTTGGGAGGCTCAATCTCCATGATATCGCTATTTCCGTCCTTTCCGACAAGTTGTAGATACACGCTGGAATGAATTCCAGCCCCTCTTCTCCCTGAAGTCTCAATCTACAAAATGAACGCGTATCCCCGGAAATACAGTTGCAGTATAAGTTGCAAACGACCGGCTCAAGGGGGAATCACTAAAATGGCACAAGATGGGGACACTTGTTAAGATAGTTGTCTTCAAACCACCTCCAATCATAGTGCGCCCTCCACCCCAAGAGCAAAATAACTTCGAGCTACGGCGTAACAGATTGAACATTTTGCTGGATAATAAAGTCCTCAACTGCACTACCGATAAAAATGAAAGTTCCCCGCGGTTAAGAATCGCACTCATATCCTCAAGTATGATCCTCACAATGTGTATTGCGTTAGCATAGAAGGGCATGGGAGGAGTATGACGTATCTGAAGGAAATGTTATGCATCACCCCTTGTATTTGGTAAAAGATAGTTGATGGAAAAGAGGGTGTGTAGATATACTGGAATTCATATTTCGTTTGTATGGTTTTTAAGTCTGCTCTCGAAGCGTTCCCTGAAAGGTATTTATTATCGTTTGCTTCCTAAATTACAGAACACTCTATTACTCGCTCGTAAAACAGAGTTCGCCACCGGTTGATTTTTCCGTTGTAACAAATTCAAACGAGCAATCATTTGTTGCTATTAACGCGGATATGGTATTATTGTTGTGAATTGCTGAATTTCAGGTATGTGGTCTAAATCACTTGATCGTTGCATGCATGAAGGCTATAAATCGCGAAGAACTCGAAAAGAAATTCATTTCGGGTAGCTTGAATCGAGAGATCGTTTACTCCTTATCTCCGTATAATATATGTATATCACCGCATAATAGTCAGAACAAAGAACATGAAGGAAGCAATGCGTTTGTTTTCTGCTTCGCTTTCGTCAGAGTTTGTGCTGTTGGTTAGTTTAGAGCGTGACGATGATATGGTATATGTTGCCTTCTTTGCTTTCAAGATAGAAATCCTTTATCAGCGAGAATCACTTACAAGAACTAGAGAATGTGAATGAGGTGTTATCAGCAGAAAAGAGCGAAGAGGTTCGTTCCCAATTGATATCGCATTTTGGATTGACGGAGCAAGAGCTTACCATTTACCCGCTTTCGGACTTGATTCAAATGGGAGTTGGGATGAAGAATGTATAATATATCTATTGTTTGTTGGAAATGGAAGAAACGGAGGGCAAGGACAATCAGAAGCAGCAGAGGATTGTTCTTTTGCGTCTTCAGCAGGTCCTTCGTGCAAAACAGGAAGAGTTGATGGTACTTGAATTCGATGTTTTGAATTCGATGTAGAAAGAAGAGAAAGTGATAGAAAGTGAATTATATAGCTTATTTGCCGAACTTGAGCAATACTCTCAAGTATTGCTATTTTCCTGGTGCTGATTTATAGGAAAAACCAGAGGCAAGTCAGCGGCCTTCTAATAATGATACCTTCATACTGTGATGGTTTTTTGTAGTTTGTAGAAATACAATGTACTTTACTACTGTTTGTTATGTTGAAAATACATATTAATATATGCATAGAATGTATTTCCAAATCCTGTATTGTTCGTGTTCTGTTCCAGCGTGCTACGTATTGAGTAATATTGATCATTTCAACATAGATGTCCTTTTCTTCAACGTAAATAATGAATCTTCTCACAGACATATTTGTCTTCTTTGTCTAATGGATCGTGTATTAACTAATTGGCAGGAAGTACTTTATTACGATGCGATATTTGCGAGCATCACAAACGACGCATCGGACGAATTGGAAGGAAAGGAAACTGTGGCTTTTCTTCGAAGGTCCCAGCTCCCGATGGAGGATATTAAGGCTGTAGGGATAGTAGAAATCGTTTTATGTAGATCTATCTGGCTGCCGTTCCGAGTAAGTCGCTGCAAATCAACCGCGATGATTTTCGACATATATTACGACTGGTTGCATTAGTTCAGCAGGGGTACGAACCAGAAGCGTCCACTCTCACTAAATATGGTTTTCTTTGTGTTTATCTGTGATTATAGCTTCCGCTTCAATTCCATTTGCAAAAATTGACGATGTTCCCGAGTTCGTTCCGATAAATCGTTATCTTCGTCGTATTGCAGTTCAATCTTTCAATACTTTGTGTGACGGGAATTATTTAAATGTATTGAAATTTGTTCCCTGTGAATAGTAGGGGAAAGAAGCGATTTCGTTCATGCGTGACAAGGGACTGTCCAAAGATGTGATCCGCAATGTTCTTTTCGAAACTCTATCGTTATTTCTAGATATGGACCTTTGTGGATGTGAATGAAGAGTTACGAATCAAGGAGGAGCAGTGGGAAGTCTGCATTTTGCTCGCTGCTTCCATTCTCCACGGAGCCTCTTTTTCCAATTCCCTGCTTCTCTCTGCGCTTTCCAAGCAGCCCGAATCCCTCGAGCCCCCTGTGATTGAAACTCCGAACAGTCCGGAATCGGATCTCCCCGCGGAAAAACCGGAGGCGAAGCCGGCGAATTCGGATCCGTTCAGCATTCTGGGCTTCCCCGAATCGATGACGGCTACCGAGTCGGCAATGCCGGAGAAGGAGGAGGCAAAGCCGAAGGCCGCGCCGCCTCCCTCCATGTCGTTCGACGATGCCTTTATGGGACTTATCAATACCGCGGAAATGAGCCAAGCCGTGGCCACCGAGCAGACCGCGCAGCCAGTCAGCGGAACGCCCCAAATGCAGCCCATGCAACCTATGGCTCCGATGAATGAAACTCCACAAATGCAATCGATGGCTCCTGTGACTTCGATGAATGGGACGCCCCAAGTTCAGCCCATGGCTCCTATGCAATCGATGGCTCCTATGCAGCCAATGCAGCCCATGGCTCCTATGGATGGGACTCCACAAATGCAGCCCATTGCTCCAATGCAGCCAGTGCAATCGATGGATTCGATGGCTCCTATGGAACAGCCGCAGCCACAGCCACAGCCAGAGCAAGCAATGGATGGGACTACCCAAATGCAGCCCATGGCTCCTATCCAGCCTATGCAACCCACCCTACCCCTCCAATCTCCGCCTCAACTGCTCTCCCAGCCTTCTCAGCCCCTCCAATCTCCGCCTCAACCTCTCTCTTCGCTGCTCCAATCTCAACCGCTCTCATCGCCTCTCCAATCTCAACCTCTCTCTCCACCTCTCCCCTCGCCCTCCCTCCTCGGCCCTCCCTCCTCCCATCCGCTCTCCTCGCCCTCCGCCACCGACTGTTTCCCCGTTTCCCCCTTCTCACCGGCAGGGATCGCGAAGGCCTCCATCGTCTGGCAGCGCGTGGCCGCGCGCGTCTTCGCCTCGCCGGGCTCCGCCTCGCTGCCGCTCAAATCCGCCATCCGCGTGCTGCGCTCCCTCCAAGCGCCGCTCCCTTCCCTCAAATCCGCCGTCGCCTCGCTCCTCGACGAGCAGCCCGACCTCTCCCTCCTCTCCCGCCCGCTCCAGATCCGCCTCCTCGTCCTCCTCGCCGATCCGCGCACGCCCCCGCGGAAGCCCCGTTTCCACTTTTTCTCCTCTCCAACCCAGTCTATCTCTGCGACATCCCTTCCATCCCCGCGGAACTCGCCTTCTGCGCCAGCGCGCAAGCCTCGCTGGAGCGCATCCGCGGGGAAATCGCGAAATTGAGGGAGAACGCGCCGGCGCCTCTGCTGGGAAGCGGCGTTTCATCGTCGAAACCGCCGCGGAACTTCGTGGAAGACGTCCAGGAACTCTTCGAATCGCTGCTGCGCCGCGGCGACTTCCGCGAGATCGAGAAATTCCCGCGGTACCTGTCGGTGCTGTCGCAGATTCGGTCGAAAATCGCGGGGAAAGCGCCGGTGGAGGAAGTGCGGGCGTTACAGGTAGGCGGCGTGCGGATTTGAGGAGTAGCGGTCGATTCCAACGCCGGCGGAGATCGTTCGGCATTTCTCAGAGCGGCCGGCAGTGCCGAACGAGTTGGAGACGGTGCGATCGGGCGAGGTGGATGAGAAGTAGATCCGGAAGCGTCTGGACGCGTGCGAAGAATGTTTTCGAAGTGTAACGAATTCGATTTTGCCGGAGGATCCGGTGCTGTTTGTGGAAATGAACGATTTGGAGAGCTTCCTCCGGAGGGTGAGGACGGCGCGGAGGTTCACGGAGGTGGTGGAAAAGGTGTCGGTGGAGGGAAATAGGGAGTTTCCGCAGTACTGGACGAGCATGCTTGTGCAATGCAGACAGATCGTGGAAGAGGCGAAGAAGTGGATGGACGCGGTGGATGCGGATGTGGAGGATGCGGTTTTGGGAGATGCGAAGACGAAGCGGTTAATGGAAAGTGGGGTTTGGCGGGAAGGTTAAAAATAGATGTGATGTGGGCGGTACGCGTAGCACAGCGAGTGGATGAAGATATGATGATTGTGGGAAGCCGGATGGAGGGATGTTTCGACACCCTCGAACGAACCTTCAAGCAGATGGTGAAGAGAGTGAACCAGTACCAGGACGAGAAAATTGTGTATGAGCCGATGGAATTTGAGGAGTGTGGGCAGGATTGCTGTCAGTTATGTTTGCATCATTCGAGCTCGGATCGAAAGCTCGCAAGTCACTTAGGAAATCCGTACCATCCGGAGTGCGCCAACCTCTGGCTCTCTCGTGTGAATGAGAAGATTCCCTCGCTTGTACCTTTGGAAGATTCTCTGTATTAGTTTTTGTTTTGAGTTGCATTGCATTGGTTTGTTTTTTTATACGATTGGGCGTAAAAAGAAGGGGAAACGGCATCGGAGAAAATACGTCCGATTTTTGTCCATTTCCACAGTTCTCCAATTGAAACATCATCATCAAATTGTCGATGTATTTTGTATTGAAGCGTGCTCACGCGTAGAGAAGACCGCTAAGAATGTCCGGTAAATTCTTCCAGTGGATTCGCTCCAGCGACATGACTTACGTGAACATGCTGATTCACGAGACAGCACTTCACGATTTTGTCGACAAAATTGGAACGATGAACAATGTTCAGTTTACAGATGTAGGCGAGTACGGGTTGCGGATTTATCGCTGTAGTTGAACTATGAGCAAACCCTTGCACAGAGACGCTATGTAAGCTACATTCGTCGTTGTGATGAGATGGAACGTCGTATCGAATACTTCAAGGCTCAATTGGCTCGCTACAACTTGAAGCCTGAGGTAGGAGCGCTCTCGGCATCGCGCTGATCATGAATAGGAAGGCATTGAGATTGAAGATTATTTGAACACCATTGGAGCCGATCGAAACGTGACCTCCGAGTACCTTCTCACCTCTCTGGAATCGCTCCTGGAGAAGCAGGAGAGCCAGCTGCGTCAGTACAACGACTACAACGTGACGCTGACGAAGCAGTACAATCAGAAGGTGGAGCAGCGCTTCGTTCTGGAGCTGACGAGCGGCTTCTTCAAAGAAAGCTACACCAAAATGAAGGAAGAGCAGGTCGCTCTCCCTCAGGACACGTACAGCAACCTAGGTATCCTCTCCTCGCTGTGCTGTCTGAGCAGTAGAAAAAGCGAGTTCGATCCGCTTCGGCTACATCGCGGGTATTCTGAAGGACGAAGACAAGCTCTCCTTCGAGCGGATGCTCTTCCGCGCGACGCGCGGGAACTGCTTCGTGCGGTTCGCTCGCATCGACACGCCGCTGGCGGACGCGGAGACGGGCAAAGACGTGTACATGTGCGCGTTCCTGCTGTTCTTCCGGTCCTCGCTGATCGAAAGCAAGGTGCGCCGCATCATCGATTCGTTCGAGGGCCACGTGTACGACGTGGACTTCACGCAGCCCGCCGAGGTGAGTTCGGCCTACCAGCAAGTGATCACGGAGCTGGAGGACGCGGAGCGCGTGCTGAACCTCAACATCGACAAGTGCGAGACGCTGCTGCGGAACGTGGCGAAGTACATCAAGACCTGGGAGTGGACGATCAAGAAGGAGAAGGCGGTGTACGACGTGTTCAATAAGTTCCGGTCGGTGCCGAGCGGGAACATGTACGGCGAGGGCTGGGTGCTTACTGAGACGGTGGACAGCATCCGCGAGGTCATCGCGGACGTGCACCGCGGCAAGGAGTCGTCGGGATATCTGGCCGTGATGAGCAAGCCGTGGCCGAAGCCGCCGACGCACTTCTACACGAACGAGTTCACGTCGATCACGCAGTGCGTGGTGGACACGTACGGCGTGCCGTCGTACAAGGAGTGCAACCCCGCCGTGTTCACGCTGGTGACGTTCCCCTTCCAGTTCGGAGTGATGTTCGGCGATTTCGGACACGGTAGCATTGAGGCGCGTCTGTGAGCGTAGCCATCTTCATCACGCTGGCCGCCATCTACTTCCTCTACTTCTCGAAGCAGCTCAAGAAGAACGGCATGAACGAGATGATCAGCATGATCTTCTCGGGCCGCTGCATGCTGATTTTGATGGGCGTGTTCGCAATGTACGTGGGCTTCCTCTACAACGATCAGTTCTCGCTGGGCGTGGACTGGTTCGGCACCACTTGGAAGTTCGAGGGCTCCAACACCGCGGTGTGGACGGGCCGCGTGTACCCGTTCGGTCTGGACCCCGTGTGGCACGACAAGTCGAACTCGCTGCTCTTCTACAACTCCTTCAAGATGAAGTTCGCGGTGATCTTCGGCGTGGCGCAGATGATCCTCGGAGTGTGTCTGAAGTTCATGAACGTGTTCTACCACCACGACTGGGTCGATCTCTTCTGCGAGGCCATTCCCCAGATGCTCTATCTGCTGTCCTTCTTCGGCTGGATGGTCGTGATGATCATCATGAAGTGGCTCATCGTACTCTCTCTCTCTTTCTCTCTCCTACCTCTAGAACTGGGACGCGCGCATGGCGGAGCATCGCGATCCGCCGCAGCTGATCAACATGCTCATCGACTTCGCGCTGCACCCCGGCGTGATCGAGGAGAAGCAGCGCCTCTTCCCCTCGCAGGACAAGGTCCAGCTCTACCTGCTTCTCGCGATGGTCATCTCCATTCCCTGGATGCTCCTCCTCAAGCCCTTCGTCCTCCACCTCAAGCACAAGCGCCACCCCCACGAGGAGCCGCAGACCGAGCTGATGGCCAACCCCACGCTCCCGCACGAGGACGAGGAGCCCACCTCGCTGTCGGAGCTCTTCATCTTCCAGGGCATCGAGACCATCGAGTTCTGTCTGGGCTGCGTGTCCCACACCGCGTCCTACCTGCGTCTCTGGGCGCTGTCCCTCGCGCACTCGCGTTGGCGTTGGGCGGTCGATCGATCGTAGAGCTCTCGGAGGTCTTCTGGGGCAAGATCATGCAGCCCGCCGTGCTCAGCGGCAACCCCATCGCGCTCTACGTGCTCTTCGTGTTCTTCGCGCTGGTCACGCTCGGTGTGCTGCTCGTGATGGACGCGCTGGAGTGCTACCTGCACGCGCTGCGTCTCCACTGGGTCGAGTTCCAGGACAAGTTCTACAATGGAAAGGGATACAAGTTCGCTCCCCTCAACTTCCACGATTTGCTCGTCGGAGAGGACTGGTAACTCTGCAGTTGGGTCGTTGACTTGATTGTTTGTTGGATTCACACATGGAGTTTGGAGCTGTGGTGTTTTGGGGACTTCTCGCTGCCCTGCTGGCTGCTGCGTTTTTTGCAGGTGCGTTCTGGGAGAAAAAGAGAGTTATGAAAGAGATGGAGGAGCAAGCGGAAGAGAGTGATTCGGAGGAATCCAGTGATTCAGAAAGTGAGGAGGAAGACGAGGAGCCTGGTTTGCGTTCCATTGAACCCTGATCTCGTAGACTACAGTTTAAAGATGGTTCTGTGCGTCCGAAAAGACTTGCCTATGACCAAGGGAAAGGTTTGTGCACAGTGCTGCCACGCAGCTGTGGGAGCCGTGAATCGGGCTCGTCGCCAAACCAAAGGTGCTTTTTCCTATCTTCGTTCATAACTAGACCTTTACAAGGCCTGGCAGCGCAGTGGATGCAAGAAGGTCGCGCTGCAATGTCCCGATGAAGCGGCCTACATGGAGATTTGCGCGGAGGCTCAGAAGGCAGGACTGACGTACTATGCAGTGGTAGTGGTTATCGTATCGATCGATTTGTAGTGCGATGCGGGTCGAACGCAGCTGGAGCCGAACACGTTTACCGTGGTCGCCTTGGGTCCCGATCGAGAAGAACGCATCGATAAAATCACAGGACGAGAAGGATCGCACCCTCTGAAGCTTTTGTAGCTTGGAGAATGGGTTTGTGAAATTTGAAAAGAACGAAGCTGAACGTAAATCGATCTCATGGAATTGTGTTTGTTTGAAATGCGAATCAACGGGTGGATGAATCAAGGAATCAAGGAATCAAGGAATCAAGGAAGGATAGAATAGAATATCAATAGGATTCTACTACTTTGTTATATGATTGATTCATTGCTTTATTCACGCTCATTCCAATCTCCACATCATCACGATTCTCCTTCTCTTTCGAACAAACACTTTCTAAAGTACAACATGAAACGAAATCAGCTGTAGCAAACAAAAAACTCCCTTAACTCCCCTCCTTCCAAACAATTCAATCCCAAACCAGCAGTCCAAATCATCATCAACAACAACAACAACTATAGAATCTTCGCTTAGAGTACATACACGCAGTTCCGCAGCTCTTCGAACGTGATTCGCTCCATCGGATCCACCACAAAAACGCGTCGCAGCAGCTCCACCGCCTGCGGATTGGCGTGCACTTCCTCCAATTCCTCCGCGATCGCGTCGAATCCGTTCCGCTTAAACATCCAGAACAGCTCATCGCTCTCATTCGCGATGTTAAACGGCACTTCGCCCGTCAGCAAAAAGAACAAAATCACTCCCAGACTCCACACATCCGCTTGATCCGCGCGGAAACCATCTCCGAAACACTATTTCGCATGGCAGAAATACCCCCTACTTCTGGAGCCGCATACGAACATTCTCCGCACACACGTGACTCCCCCACAACGAAACCCCCGTCGCTGGAAACCGCCACCGCTTGTTCGAATCCCGCGATTTTCGCGAGGATTTCTGGAATTCCCGGATTCTCCTCGGAGGGTTTCAGCTGGAGGAACACTGTTTTTGCGGATAGATTGCAGTGGTAAAAGCCCACGGCGCGAAGATTGGCGTACCCCGCGACGATCTGTTTAAAAATGTTTTGAACGAGACACGTGGACGCGATCCAGCCTTGATACTCTTCGATGGTCCCGTTCACGACTTCCGTGATGCTCAGGATCTCCATCGGCGTCTCTACACAAAGAACACCCCCTACACGATAAGTACCGAACAGGTGGAGGAGTTTCACGACGTGGGGATTCCCGCGGAGATTGTTGAGATCGCTTTGAATGCGCAGCGCGAGTTGGAAGTCTTTCTCTTCGAATTGGTACGCTTCGCTCACGCACGACTACTGGAGAAACGTGGAAACCGAGTACTTTGAGGAGGGAGCGGATGGCGACGGGAGGGAAGAGCGGATCGACCGAGTAGGCTGAGTAATGCCGAGTTAAGCGGCGCGCTTGGAAGGTTTTGCCCATGCTGTCGTGGGTTAAAACGATCTCCGGGAGATAGGAAATGCCGTTGCCTTGGATGATCGTGCGGCGATGGAGCGAATAGCTAGATGAGAAGGGGAAATCGGGGAAACCGGTTGCGAATGAGAACGCGTTTTTTCACGGCGGGAGTGAGATGGAGAATGGAGGCGGCTCGAAAAACGAGCTCCTGGGAGTGAGGAAAGGAGAGAGGAATTACGTTGTCATACGAAGTGTCAAAAATGTTCTGAGGGACAATATCAGAATCTAGCTCGATCAAAAGAATTAAAAATTGGTACAGATATCGTCCGATATTTGCGAAGGAGTAAGAGAATGAGACAAAGATCTGAAGCTACGCAATAGACTCTGGCTTCGTTCACGGAGAGCCGACATAAAATTAGATGACTGGGAGTCGGGGGAAATATCAACCTCTCCATGAAAGGAAGGGAATTGAGCTAGTTCGATGAATATCCTGTAACTAACCATACTAGTAAGTGATATCGGAGGCAGGGAATAGGTCTGAGATCGTTGCAAGCGTTGAGCCTGAGGTCTTAGCGAGACAGCAATCTGGCTCGTTTTCGGCTCATCTATCAGTAGGTCAGTGTTATTTCCTTCCATTTGGTCCAATTCGCTGGGCCCGAACACTCGAATAACAAAAGATAGGAATAATTGAATCGTTGCACTTTATTGGATGATCCAATTATCCTTTAACATAAAGCTTTTCAGTACTTGTTCGGCATCCACTGCATGGCAGAGCCCACAACAGCCGAAACGAGTCTTCTCTCTATGAAATACATGATTGCTCCTCATACTCGAACTTTGCGTTTCCTGGGCTCGTATTATTCGATTCGTAACTCGTCGATTCCAATCAACCCATTTCAAGTCCCAAATCACAGAATCAAAAAAGTCGGTATTTCTGCCGAAATACAAAAGTTTTAAGTTTAACTCATCTCGATTTAATCGCATTCATTCTTGCAGTAATAACTTCAAATGACGAACGGCCGACAAGCTGCTAAGAGTGAGGTGATAAACCAGGAATTGGAAGATTGTTACCATGTACATGGTCACGTCTGTACTGCAAACGGTATCACAGCATTCGACATAATGATTCTAAGATCATAAGAAGGCTCCGAACTGCTTTGAGAAGCCGTTTTGTCTGTAGCGCCTTTTTTACATGGATGATTGTGCAGATTTAATTTAGGTGAGAAGAGGCTGGAAGACATTCTTGCAGAAGTGGCAAAAGTTCGTGCCATGGTTAATACGATGCTTCGCAATGATTCAAGACCATTGGGGTTGGTGAATCCGCATAACACATGTTACATTAACGTATTATTACAAAGTTTGTTCCGCGTCTGGCCGTTTCGCAAAGTCCTGCATGTCTTAGTGCGCTAATTCATTGCTAGAATGAGTGTCAAAGCAACCGATAAGTCATCCGTGCTTTATATGCTCCAAAAGGTTTTTGCAGAAATGACCCTCTCTAAAGATCTATCTTATTTTCCAGACGGATTGCTTCGAACCATGATGATCAACACCGATGTGCAGTGCGATTCGCACGAGTTCTTCGACCACCTCATGGCCTCTCTCAAATCCGTCCTCGAGTCCCAAGGCGACAAATCCACCGTCGTATTTCTTCCCATTCCTTTAACATCCTCGCAGTCCTCCATCGACCAGCTTTTCTCCGGGAAGCGTCTGCTCTGCCGCTGCTGTCTGAACTGCCGCAAGGTGTTCTACCGCCCGGATACCTTCTCCTTCCTCGTTTCCACGTTTCCACGGTTTGACGGGTAGGACTGCTCCGTGGTGAACATGCCGCGCCTGGAAGACGCTCTGCAAGTTTTGTTTACGCGCGAACGCATGTCCGGATCCGAGCAATACTTCTGCTCATCGTCCAAACCCGCGGTTTTTTCTCTCTAGATGCGACCGGAAGTGCGACGCGGAGGTGCTGACGACGATCAAGGAGCTGCCGCCGGTGCTGATGATCCGCATGCAGCGGCTGCAGTACGACAAAGGGAGCGGGAATCAGACGAAACTGACGAACGGCGTGCAGATTCCGCAGTGGATCGACTTTGCGAGTTTCTCGAGTCTTGTAGGAAGAAGAGCGGGACAAGCCTGACGGGTAGGATGAAGGGAGCGGAGAGTCGCAGTATGTGCTGGTGTCGGTGGTGCATCACCACGGGGATCATGCGAATTGCGGCCATTACACGTGTCACGTGCAAGCAGGTGAGGGATTTCGCGTTATTTTGAATAGACGGAGCGTGGTATCTCGTTAACGACCAGCACGTCGAGCTGATCTCCTGCCCGTACGTCGACTGTGAGGCCTTGCATGCGATGAGATGAGATGTAGGCGTGGCGCATCCCTGGCGCCCGATGAAGCAGCCCATTCTCCGATTCTCCGTGAAGCCCGTCGCCTTCCACGATGTCACGAAACCCGCGGGAATCCACGAGCCCGAACAACAGGGAAACGGGGAAGAGAAGGAACAGGGAAACGGAGACATGGAAAGTGGAAACGGGGAAGAGAAAAAAAAGGGAAGAAATGAAAGGGAAGAGAAAAGTGGAAACGAAGGAGAAGCGAAGGTGGAAACGGAGCACGTGACCGAAACGAAGATTGATTGGACGCACGACGAAGATGCCAACACATTGATTAAGCAGCTCGGCATGACCGATCCCCGCGATTCTGGCAAGCCCAGCGACGATCTCGACGCCAAGCCCTCAAAAAAAGCCCCGAATTCTGGCAAGTCACCGAAACCAAAAGACAAGAAAAAAGGGAAACCGTCGAAACCGTCGAAACGTGGCACGCGCTCCTCAAAAAGCGACGACGACAGCGAGGAATGGGGGAAACCGTGGAAACGGAAGCGCGTGGGGGGCTCGGCGCGCAGCCGTCGGATGGTTTCGAACAACCAAACGGGCCAATCGGCGTACATGTGCTTGTAGGACTGAGGGAAGGAGTCGATGGCAGCTATCTGCGGAAGGACTTTTTCGACGCGATGAAGCGGGAGATGGAGACGCAGAGCGCGGAGCTGTGCGGCTGTATCGACCCCAGCGACGTCCAGGCGATCGAGGAGGCCAACGCGGCGCTGGAAGCCGCGGTCACCGCGAAATATCACGTGTTTCTCTCGCTCTACGAGGCGCTGGTGCATCGCATCGAGCTCGTCAACGTGCTCTTTTCTCTCCTCGCTCACGCGCAGAGCGTCCTCGCCGCCCCGCCTCCCGACCTCTCCGCCGCCTGCTTCGTCCCCCGCGCCGCCTTCATGTCGTGGATGTCCGCCTCCGATCTGTTCGACCCCGTCGTGAAGCAGCTCGAAGCGCAGAAGAGCGAAGCCGGCGACTCGCCGCACGCCTCGCCGCCGCGCATTCCGCCGGAGTCGATGGACTCGGACGGCGAGGAGGGCTTCGACACGCTCCCTGCCGAGCCGATCTCGCTGGTGGACAGTCTCCTCGCGGTTCTGCAGAGCGCGCTGAAAGCGTCCGTCTCTACCGACGACGTCGACGACAAAGACGAAGCCGACGCCACGCGCGAATCCATCTGCACGCACGCTCACTGCGACCCCGTCTGTAGGTTCTCCGTTTCTCCTTCTCTCCAGTCTTCCGCACGGCGTTCAAAGCCGTGTCTCCCGCCTCGCTGGCGCTTCTCCACGCCTCGTCGTCGCTGGCGTTTCCCTCGCTCTCCTGGTCGCAAGTGTACTGTGCGCTCTGCGAGCGTCGCTACTGCGAGCTGCTCCAGCGTCTTCGCCAAATCCACCAGCCCCTCACCGATCTTATCCAGGAATTCCGCACCTTTTCTTCCTCTTCGCCTGCCCCTGTTTCCACTTCTCCTTCTACCCCTGTTTCCACTTCTCCGTCTTCGTCCCTCGTGCCGCCATCTTCGTCTTCGTCGTCTTCGTCTTTGACCCCTTTGACCCCTTTGACATCTTCGCCGTCCTCCGAAAGCCGCATCCTCAGCGTGATCTTCATCCACGCCATGCAGACTCTGCTTCGTCGCTACCGTCGCTTCATCCAGCGTCCGCAGCGCTGCACACCGGCCCTCTTTCTCCGCTGCTCCTCCGAGCTCAGCCCCACCGCCAACCTCCTCTGCGTAGCCCCGCCAATCGGCTCTCAGATAGGAACACGGCTTGCTGCGCCAGTATCTGCGCCGGATGGACTACGCCGCCGTTCCCAAGGCCTTCTGGGACCGAATCCACGCCTTCTTCCCCGACGCCCCCGAGATCCCCGTGTAGGAACCGCGGGGAGACGCACATCTAGGTCCACCGGCATCTGCTCCGAGTGCAAGCGCAAACGCTTCACTCCCGCGGGGAACGCAGCCTCCCTCAGCAACGGAACCGTGGAAAAGAAGGAGGAGAAAACCGCGGGGGAGGACGCTTCCCGAAAGAGGGAAACGGAGAAGGGATCGACGGGGGCGACGCACTCTTCCAAGATTCCGGAAATCGGGCCGATTTTGCAGACCGAAAAAGTGGAAAAAAGTGGAAACGAGGGAAACGGACTCAAAATCCGCATCGTGACCAAGGAACTTCGAAAGGAAACGCCCAAGGAAGTTTCGAAGGAAGTTTCGAAGGAAGTTCGAAGTGAAACGCCCAGCGAAACTCCCAAAATCAAGATTCCCAAAGTCATAATCAAGAAGGGCGTTTCGGCGGGAGTTTCGGGAGAATCTTCGAAAGGAACTTCGAATCATGATCGGTCCGGTGAAACGCCCAAGGAAACGCCCAAGGAAACGCCCAAGGAATCGATTAAACTTCGAATTCACGTTCCCGCCAAACCAAAAGGGGAACCAAAAGGGGAACCAAAAGGGGAACCAAAAGGGGAACCAAACGGGGAACCGAAAGTGGAACCAAAAGGGGAACCGAAAGTGGAACCAAAAGGGGAACCGAAAGTGGAACCGAAAGTGGAACCGAAAGTAGAACCTAAAGTAGAACCAAACGTGGAACCATCTCCATCACACACCCCAACCACCGTAGAAACCGTAGAAACCGTAGAACCCACGGCGTCATCTCCCGCCAACCCTCCAGTTCCACTTTCCGACAGTCCAAAAATCGGGGCGATTTCTGGCTTCCCTCTCTACCAACTTCTCCAGCAAAACTCCCCCCATTTCCACGGTTTCTACGATGAAACGCTCTCCGAATCGGCCCGTCGCGCGCAGCTGCGTCAAGAACCGCGATTATCCCATCTTCTCTCCCGCGGGACTGTGTACCCATTTTTTCCCTCGCTGAGGAACAGTATTTCGAAATCGTATTTTTCCGCGGAACCGGTCATCAACGACGGCTGCTACTTCATTCTGAGCGGCGATTGGCTGGATTCCGTGCGCCAATGGGCGAAGGGCGCGGGGAGTTTCGCGGGGATTCGGCGCATGCAGTTCAGTATTCGGTGCAACGACGGGAATTGGGTCATTCCAGGACATATGAACCACTTTATCATGGGCGTTACGTCCGTTCCGTGTGTCGTAGGAACCGCGGGGAATCTGGACTGTAGAGTTTAGAGAACGGGAATCACGTGGAAGTGATCGACGAAACGGAAATGAATCTTCTTTCGAAGTTCTTCGAAGTGGATTCGGTTCCGATCGGGTTTTATTTCGGCGAAACGGATTCCGGGCAGAAGGAACTCATTTATTTCCCGGGGCTCTGCGAAGAGTGCCAAAAACGGGAGGTATTTTTTTGAAAAGAAACGCCTGTCGAATAGAATTGGATTTACGAACGGATGCTGAAGAGCGTGGGGGAGCAAACAATCATTCTGCTGGAGGAACCAATCATTTTCTCGGTCGCTGAAGAGCGATTCGCGCTATTGGATAACGGAAATAGTGGGGATTTTTGGAGTGGTGGGAGGTAGACGTGGTGACGACGAGGCTGTCGCAGTCGTGCTCGATTCCGGAGTGGAGGAAGGCGATTGCGGCGCGTGTGGGGATGGAGGAAGATTCGTTTCAGTTACAAACGCGGAATTGCGCTATTGAAATAAAGAACACAATTCGTTCTTATGGGGTGTCGCCCGAAACTGTTGTATATCTTACGAAGTGTTGTGCTGTTTGTTGGACACTTGAATGGAAGGGAGATGATTACTAGACGGTTTTTCTGTGGACTTACGGAAGCATTACCTAATTTTAGTGTATGTCACCAGTCTGACTCTGAGGAAATGAATGAGATGTATTCAACTCAGCAGGCAGAGGACAATGACTACCTTCCTCGGAACGATGAGTTCATTCCGCCAACCAATTTTGCGGTTATTGAGAAAGGGCTATATCGAAGTATTCTTTATTTTCTCATTAATAGGAATAGGTGCTTTCCCTGTAAAACGGAACTTCCCGTTTTTGAAGCATTTGGGAATCCGTTCCATTTTGTATGGATTTGTGAACGTGTGGGGATTATGGTTGTAGAGTCCTCGTTCCAGAAGATTATCCTGAAGACAGTCTAAAGTTTATGAAGCGCTTTGATATTAAATTATTTAAGTTTCCGCTTGAGGGAAACAAGGTATGCACCAAAATCTAAATTGAGACGCAGGAACCTTTTACGGAGATTCCTGAAGAAATGGTGATTCAGATAATGCACATTGTATTGGGTATCCTCTACTCATTCTTTCTTTCCTAAGATACACGAAATCTACCCCTGCTCATTCATTGTAACAGTGGAAAGCATCGAACAGGTTCTGTTGTCGGTTGTATTCGCCGAGTTTTTAATTATTTTGCTTCGTTCGATCACTAGATTCAAGGATGGTCTCTTTCTTCCATTTTCTGGGAATATCGTTTCTACGCAGAGCCCAAACCCCGCTTTATGGATCAGCAATACATCGAACTGTTCGATATCAACAAAGTTAACCCAGATCGAGAGTATCTTCCTGATTGGCCGGGGTTATTGGATGATTGTACTATACAGAATTCTCGTGTTTGTTCCAACAAACAAGCGTTACACGTTAATCTTCTCGATGATTTTACCCAACTCCTTGATCAGCGACGTCATATGCAGCGCATCGCTCTTTCCCTCCGGCATGTATCGAATCATTCGCTTCATCATTCTACTCTCAATCCGACTCTCCATTTCTACGAAATCGACGTAGTCAGTGAGGGAGAACTCACCTTCCCAGAGGACGGATGACTATCCAACCACTCGACATCCTAATCATGAACCCCTACTGTGCATTTCACCACTTTTTCGGGCAATTCCTCGAATAGAGCGAGTCGTTTCGATTGGTTCGCCCACTGAATCGACTCTTGAACGAACGCCTGAACAGCAGAGCTGATCTCATACACACTATCTTCCCGCTCCACATCATTCAGTTCATCAATGATTCCCCTGCACAGCCGATTTGCTTTTTCCTCTTTTCCGTTAATGCAGAGCAAGCAGGCCTGCAGAACCGTGAAGAACGCGCTGCTCATTCCTAATGCTTCGCAGATCGGCTTGCAGTCCACGTTCGCCATCAGACACAACTTCACAAACTTCGTTCGTTGATGCCGAACCGAATTCTCCAGCGCCGAAGGCACCGAGCCCTCGAACGTCGGCGAGAACAATTCCTCCTATTCCTCAAAAAAACCGCGGAAAATCACCCAAAACGGCACCATCTGCGCGATTGTTGGAATGACCGAAATCGGGACGATTTTCGAACTCTTCAGCTGCGTGAGGACCAGCGAAATCCTGCAGAAATCCGCGGCCAGAACCGCCAGTCTGCGCATTTCCGCGGGGAACGGCGACGAATAATTGCGCTCGATGGCGAGATAGCAGCCCTTCGTGATGGGGAACGGGTAGTTCTCCAGTTCTACCGCGGTTTCTACTTCTGTTTCTGTTTCTGTCTCTATTTCTGTTTCTGTTTCTTTCTCTGTTTCTGTTTCGTGGGAAGGTGGAAACGTGGAAACCGCAAGCTCAGGGCAGAGTTCGAGCTGCTGCGCGCTGGTTGCGATGAGCTGCGCCAACTGCCGCGTGTTCTCCATAAACTGCGCAAAATCGCGGGGATCCAGGGCGTTTTTCAGGTCGGACCGAATCTCATCGACGACGTACGACGAGATTCTACGTCCCAAAAGTGGAAACGTGGAAACATTCTCCAGCAGAAACGCGCGAAAGCGAATTGTTTGGCGACGGGGAGCGCCTTCAGAACGCGCAGCAGATAGACGAAGTCGGGCGTTTCAAGTTTGTTAAGCCTGTTAACAACAATCTGCACAAAGATGGTGTAGAAGTAAGAATTCGGCAGGAACATCGCCAGCAGACTCAGGAAATTCTGGCTTGGGTGCTGGGCAATGTCGAGCAGGTTTCTCCAATTCTCCAAATCAATCGTGCTGCGATTTAGGAGAGAAAACCGCGGGACCCACTACGAAACACTATCGAAGGAACTGTATTCCACGGGGATGTTGAGCAAAGCGAGGTAGAACTGCACCGTATTCTCGCGCACGTGCTTCACGCTCAGGCGGTGACTGTGTTCCACGTGACAAAAATCGGTACTTTACCGCCATCGACAAAACCGTCACCGAGCGGATTTGATGCAGCAGGCGAACGCACTCCGAACCGCGGTTCTTGCGACGCAGATCGCCCTCCAAAAACCGGCAGAGAAGCAGAGAAACCGCGGGAATCGTCGACGATTCGATTGTGTTCCGAAGGAATTCTGTTTCGAAGGATGCCAAAAATCGGACCTATTTCGGTGTCGCAGAGCGCTCCCCCGGGGATACACGCGAAAAACGCGGGGAAAAGCGAGTCGAAGCGTTCGTAGAAGGAATTGGGGAAATCTGCCCGATTTATGGAATTCCAAAAAAAGACCCAAAAATGGGAGTTGTGCGATCCATTGGACCCAGAATTCCACGAACAGACAGACGTTGTGCCGCTCCTCCGTTCCCTCCAATTCTCCGAATTCCGCGAAAAACCGCGGGAGCGTCTCGGGAGCGTCGAGCAGCGAATCAAAAAGCAGCGTGTTCAAAACGCCCCGCGCGGCCCGCGCGAGCGTTTCAGCGCCGCGGAGCTGGCGCGGCACCGACTACATCGAAACGTGGAAACGTGGAAACGCTCTGAAAGCACTGGAGCCAGAGCGACAAGTGCGTGTGGTTGAGATTCGGCGCGGGCGACCGCGGGGGAGGCGCGAACTGGCTCTGAAACGCCTTCTGGACCTGGAGAATTTCGGCGGAATTTTTGTCAATGGGGGTCAGAGCGCGCGTTTGGCGGGCGCGAAGACGTTTGCGGTGGAGGTCGAGGAGGGAGTAGTACCAGGCGATGACCGAGGAGTAGAAGACCAGGCGCTCCAGCACCTCGGAATGAGGGAAACGGGGAAACACGACCGTTTTCGGGAGAGTCGAGCGAGGCGTCGGCGGAAGAATTCGATCGAACGGGGGAAGAATTCACGGAATTCGATGGAGAATTCGATGGAATGGACGAAGAATTCGATAAAGAATTCGATGGATTCATAGAATTCGATCGAACTGCTGAAGAAATCGATTTCGAATTCGATTCAATTTCAGGGCGTGGTGCTACAACACAGCGAATAACCGCGGTTACTCGCATATTCACCGGTTCGGTGGACGGAATTCTTTCGAATTCGGCGCACCTGATCGGAACACATGGAAAGTAACGCCTCGTAGGAAGGCGACAAGTCGATTCCGAACTGAAAGCAATCGTTCAGCAAGCGAAGATAAATCCGCGGGTCCGAAATGGACTCAATTGTGTTCTGCAGCTTCGCTATGGCTCAGAGAACCGCGGGAATGCCACCTCGCACCCGCGGGAAATCGCTGGAATCGAAGGAAGGCGCGGAACATTCGATGAGAAGCTTGATGGCGGCGTTCTTGAGAATCACGTCGCGATGCACCGAAAGTTCGATCGAATTCTGCACCGAATCCATCGAACTCCGGAGTTTCACGCGACAACAAAACACAATCGGCGTGGAATTCGGTTTCGACGATTCGGAGAGCAAAAACCCGTTCTCCTTTTCCTGAAAAACCCGAACACTACAAAAATAGGCCCGATTTCTGGAATTTTATTACGGGGATTCGAAGTGCTGATTGGCCACACGAATAACCGCGGGAACGCGATAGGCCTCCAAATAGCTCCGATTTTCGCTCTGCTTATTAAGAACACGATTCCCGCGGTTTTATTTTTATTTTTTTAAAAAAAGATATGAAAATTCCCAAAATCGGGACTTTTTTCGGAGCTCCCTGCGTCGAAACTTCCATGGAAGACCAGAAACACTGCACATTTCGATACCTATTTCTCAGCGAAACGCCCGGTTTCCACCCTTTCCACATTTTCAGCACTTCCCCCGTGGAAATTTCCACCAAAACCACGCGGTTCAACCCGTCCGAAACCGCGATTAAACGCCCGGAGGGGCTGCCCCAGATCTGTGTTCCCTCGCGTTTGTGATCCGCCAATTCAAAACTGGTGCGCACGGGTTTGGCGGTCGGGATGGTTTCCCGTTTCTCCGTTTCGGCCTGGTTCCACCCCCACCCCGCTAAGCTCCGCACGGCGCCGTAGAGACTTTTGGCGACGCTCACCGCGAGGGAGCCCACCGAGCGGTTCGGAGAATCGCGGGAAATTTCGTAGAAACAGAGAAACGGAAAGGAACCCGCGGCGATGACCTCGAACGAAGAATCCGCGGTTTGCGACGAAGGGGAGGGCGTTTCGCTCATGGAGTCGGGCGTTTCGCTCATGGAGGGCGTTTCATTGGAGGGAGTTTCGTTTTGAGGGATTCGTTTTGGGATGATGGAGATGGCGATGCGCTTGATGGAGCTCTGGCCGCGAAGATGGTAGCGCTGCTGAGGCAGAGAGCCGCATTCTACGACGGGAAGGGATTCAGGGCTTTCGCATTGCATGAATGCGTGGTAGTTGGTGAGGATGGAGTCGATTAACATGGAGAACGGAATCTTGATGAGGATCGAATCTTCGGTGAGGATCCAGATAAACTAGAGTTGAGTTGAAACGAGGTGGAAAGCGAACTCCTTGGAACGAAAGCACTTGAATGAGAGGTGTTAATGACATCTCGCAGTAGTAGATAGTTCGGTTGATTACACTATCGACTCTAAAGTAAAAAAAGCTGACTAAGACAAACATATAAATGTTTCCCAGCACTGTTCCTATTATCAAGTACTTTTCACTAATAAAAGTTAAACAATTGATTATCTCTTCTGAGCGATGGCAAATCCCCGGTTGAAAGCAAATCTACAATAAAACCTCAAGATCCGCATTTACCTTATTATCCATATCAATAAGGACAAGCACATTTTTATAGGCATATGCTATGAGGGATTTATTCGGGCAGATGGCAGTGAGGGCGGATTCGTCAAAAAGCCATTTCTCCGTGTTCTACATCAGTAGTTCGATCCAAAGTAAACATCAAAATGGCTAGAATTAAGAGAACTACGTTCTCGAAGAATCGAGTTCAATTCATTCCGAATCTCGGTAGAGGGAAAAGATTGACACTTCTCCAACGTCAACTCTGCCATGTATCCAAGAATTTAGATAATGAATGAGTGCATCAAACAATCCAAAATGTAGTAAACACGCTTCTAAAGTCACTCTCACTCAACTCAGAACATACACCTGACACAACGATACTGTCATCGACTCTTCCAGAAACATTCACTTGATTGTCCTTCAAAAAGCAAGCAACATCAATCTTTTTACTATCTTCGTTTAATAATAGATTTAGCGAACAACTAGCAGAGTTATCTACAATAACTATTACCTCAAAAGTGTGATTCATAACAAAATTCGACGCGTGATATCCAGGAAAAATAGGAAGCGAAATAATTAAAGGATGATTTAGGGAAGATTTTGAGCAAGTAATATTTAGAGAAGATTCCTGCAACGTGACTTTGGTACCTCCAATATTTTGCTCGCTGAAGCAATCATATGGCTCGCTGTTTACGTTGTCTGATACAATAGGAGAGTAATCATTTACTTGCAAACCAAAATAGTTGTTTGAGCAAAAATAATTACCATTTTCATTGCCTTGATCGTATCTACTAACTTCCGATATTACATTATTTGCCTGATCTGTCGCGTGTTTGTCAGAGGAATACAAATCATTTCGATTGTCTCCATGTTCATCAATCACTTCAAATTGATGAAGAAACATATAAGAAACTTTGTTCTTGTAATCATAGTTTTTGCAATCGATCGCTATAGTAATATTACAGATTTTTTTAATTTCGTCCAGCTTTCTAGTATAGTCTCCGCTCGCTTCTTCCCCAATTACATTCAACAGAAGGAAATCGATTATTTTCTCTCCAAATAGCTCCATTTCTGGCAATTCAGATAAAGTATACTTCATAACATCAGAAAAGGAAAGTGATTTAGAAATCCCAAGGAGATCGGAATAGGTGATTGACTTATATAATCCATCTGGACAACAATAGACTTTCATAAGCAAATCACTAAAGTATACCTTGAAACAGTGCATCTCCAAAGAATAACGACTGTGTGAAATAGATGTACAGTCATCGATTCTTGATAATATCAAAAGTACTTGTAGTCTAGATATCTCGCTCTATCAAATTGCAGTGGTGAGAACATGGGGAACAACAGCTCATCACTTGCACATCTGAATTCGCAACGTAGCTTCGAAATGGTCAACATTGTTAGACAAACCCTGTAGTCTCATAATATAGACCCAGCACGATGTGAGTTCAGACGAAACTGAAGAAAGTGCGTGACCGGTTTGAATTTAAGTTGTAGAGCAGACCGTGTTTAATATCTTCCACATGGAGAAAAAGGAAGATGCAGGTATCATTACGAAGCCGTTGGAGAACATTATGACATGCGAGTACAATGTCCAGTTCAAGATAGCTTACTCCCAAATGAGCGAACCCGTTGGCTTCCCTCTCTGCCTTGAGATTAGAATACTCATAAAGAACATCCCAATGAAGACGACATTTTTGTTCGACAGTATGATCGTAATGGTGACAACGTTTTTGTCGCTGCAGTGTACTTTCTTCCCCATTTCTTTCTCCCAGACTGGATGGCCATCAAGGCATCAATGCCCTCAACTACGTCCAGAGCACTCTATTCGATGCTCTCTCCAACATGCTCTTCGAAAACCCCGAAAACATCCCAGATCACGTGTGCGAGATCTTCCAGCAGATCGACACGACCTACTGCGAGGAAAAAGCCGAGCTCCTCCGCCAAATCACCGCCCCGTCGCGCCGCGTCTGTTTCTGCGGGTCTCGCCGCTCCGACCTGCATCATGAGAATCTCTTCCTCGGCTGCGGCTGCGTGCTCTCTCTGCTGTGCATCCACAACAACCAGCTGCTCCTCGCCGGACTGGGCGACTGCGGGATCGTCTTCAGCATCGGCGGGCGCGCGCGGTACGCGCTGAACCGGCACAACCCGACGGACGCGCTGGAGAAACAGCGAATTCTCGTAGAATTCGGGGCGGCCTGCGAGGCAGATGGCGGGAGGCAGCGTGCTGAACAACCGCGTGGACAACATGCTGGAGGTTTCGCGGTCGATCGGCGACGTGTGGTTCAAGAAGTCGTACCAGACGCGGTCGTTCGGGTTTGGATGGACGTCCCAATCGAGCGTAGCGCGCCGAGCGATCCGAGGCAGGACGTGGTGATCGCCGAGCCGGACGTGAAGATCTACCCGCTGTCGAGCGGTAGGCGGCGGAGAGAAGAAGAAGAGGGCTAACGAGCAGACGTGGAGTTTTGTATCATCGGGAGCGACGGATTGTTCGCGAGTCTTTCCTTCCAGACCGCCATCAACGTCGTGAAGGATTTCATTTCGCGCGGACGCTCCGGCGAGGACGCCTGTCGCGAGCTCATCACGCGCGCCCGCGCGTAGCGGAGCACAGAAACACAATCACGCCTAGCAAATCGACGGACGACATCTCCGTCATCGTTCTCTTCTTCCACGTGTCCCGGCACAATCGTACCAACGACGCGTATGTCGGCGCGCTCGACGAACAGCAGTTCGCGCAGTCGGACGACGAGCCGGTCGACAGCGACGCGGAGCCGCCGCTGCAGCGCTTGGCGCGCTCGCACTCGGAGGTGAGCATGTCGCTGTACCTGTCCAGACAGTCGCAGCGCGATTCGGCGGCGCGGGCGAGCGTGCGCGAGATGTTCACGCGGACGCCGGAGGAAATTCTGGAGATGCGTCTGCCGTCGGTGGGATGGGAAGGCGCGTCGATGGTGGTGGAGGGGAAGTCTTCCGTGGCTTAAGTGTTTCAGTGTGATTTAGTGGCGCGTTTGTTACAAACACTCGCTAAAACGACGAGGCGTTTCGTGGAGAGAAGGAGAATCGAGCAGGGACACACGCTCAGTTACACAACGATCGCTTTCACTTCTTCAGTCGGACGCTCTTCGACTTGGGCTTCTTCGACTTGCGGTTCTTCGACCTTAGGTTCCTCAATCTTCACTTCTTCGGTCTTCACTTCTTCGGTCTTCACTTCTTCAGTCTTCACTTCCTCCGTCGTGGGCTGGGAGAGCTTTCCATAATACTCGGGATGGGCATCGACGCATCGCTTCAACGCCAGCGTCACGGCTCCGCAGGACGCCACATACGCGTTGATCTTCGCGTCTCTCTGCTCCTCGGTGAGCTCCTCGCCCTCCTTTCGCTTCATCTCCGCCTCGTTGAACTGGATCACGCATTTCTGCCACGCATCGAACGGGCGATAGCACGGACCCGACTTCATAAACACGCACCAGCTGCACTCCGCGTCCTGCTTCGCCTCCGAGCATCCGAAAGGCGCCGCCTCGAAGCCTCGCTGCGTGCACAGCTTGCTCTTCACCTCCAAGCCCTGGCTCCGCAGATCCGAAATCGTCACGTGCGTCAGCGGGTAGGAATAGTATCCCTCCACTTCCACGTTTTCCACGTTGGCTTTCGGCACGAACACGCCGTTCTCGTCCTCGACGAGCAGTCCGTCCTCCACGCAGCGGTCGATCAGGATGCGTCCGTACACGCGGGAATACGCGCTGTTCTCCGCTTCGTCGTCGCAGGACACGACGATGTGCGGGTAGCGATAGCTGGACAGCGTGTTCCCGATGTCCACGACGAGCTAGAGTCGATTGCAGACGCAGAACTTACCACTTGCGCGTGCTCGTCTCGCACTTCGGCGATGATCTTGATGGACACATCATCGCCCATCGAGGGTCCGAATTCGTTGGCGTCCTCCGGCTTGGGGTTGTAGCTCAGCAGAACGCGGCGTTGAGGCCTGGGAGTGAGGAGAGAGGAGCGATGCTACTTGTAATTGTGGAGGGCGGGGAAGGATTCGTCGAGGCGGTCGGAGTCCTCGCTGCTCAGATACAGGCAGATTTCTTTCACGCCGTCCCACCAAGGATGCCACGTATCGTCATCCACTTCGGTTACCACAAAGGCTTCAGAATCATCAGCATCTTCTTCTTCTTCTTCTTCTTCCTTTACAGGGACAACGGGTTCTACGGGTTCAGCAGGTTCCACAGGTTCAGCAGGCTCAGCAGCCTCTACAGCAGGCTCTGCATCCTCTTTCACAGGCTCAGAAGCCTCAGCTCCCTCACTCTCCTCTTTCACACCCTCTGAAACCTCTTCCTGGGCGGGATTAGCGATTTCAGGGGAAGACTCGCTCACCTCCTCTTTCACAGAATCAGACACCTCCTGAACAGGAGCCTCCGACGCCTCCTCCTTCATAACCTCCAAACTCTCCTGAACAGTGGGAACAACAGACTCTACGGCGGGAGCAGCTTTGTTCTTGGCCGCCTCTAAGCGAGCCATCTTTTTGGCACGGCGACTACGGTAAATCGTTCTTCCAGTGAAATAGCATCCCGTTGCCACAATAGCAAACCCAGAGAGACCGATCGTGAGTCGCTTTCTCACAGAAATATCATTCCTGCACCTCACACTCCATGTACAAAACCTACACTAAAGCAAAGTTTCTTCTGACCACACCACGGCTAGACGCAAGGCAGGGGAATCGTCTTGCTGCTGTTCCCAATGTACGAAACATAATATAGAAAAAAAGTGGTTGTTTACAGTTTTCTAAAGACCAATCAAAATCTATTTGTGGCAAAAACAAATTGAGGATTTGTGCAGTTGTAAGAAGAGTTCCTCCTTGCATGCCTACGCCTAACGCAGGAAAGGCTAGAAAGACTTTCCTATTATTTTTGTTGAATATGGACATATTGACCTACTGTTACTTTTCACAAACGGAGAACAGGTAGTTTAACAAATCCGAAGAATTCCAAATATCGACACTTTTTCCAAGTAGTGGTTGTTCAGTTTGCCATAATAAGCAAACTCTAAATGATGCCAAAGAGTTTTATCAGTAAGGTACCTCGTAATTTTTCAACTCTAGTCTCTCTCGTTATTACCCTAGTTGTTTGTGTACCATTTACTACATCAGCTGTTTTGGGGGGTAATGATGATGCACAGCTTCAGTCTATTCGATACCTTAATGAGCTGTCCGATAGTTGTTCTTATGCTACTAGTGTTCTTGTGAGTCTTGACTTTTCATCAATCATGTCATATTATGAATCCAACCAGATTGGAAGTGATAATTATACGTCGTATTCAATTTATACCTTAACTAATGAACGTGTGTTTGAAGGCCTAATTGATTCAGCAGAGAAGGAGCACTGCCTGGTTGCTGGTGATTACAAGTTTTTAGTTGAACCTCTTGAAATCCAACAATCTGGGGAAACTTCCTCTGAAGACATCTATTCTCCTGTGGTTATTAAAATCCAGCGATTCACGGATTCCCACAAGATTTTTACTTCTCCAATTACTGAGCCTTTAATCCTTCATCTCCAATATAACGTGTTCCCCTGGGACATAGGCACTCAGCAATGGAGCTACAAAGAGAGTGTCGAGGAGAACAACCTCCTAGCCCTTCCGTCCGAGGACGTGTCGGAATGGAGCTCTGTGACGGCGTTCCCCAACACCACGTCTCCCTCATCTCATTACTATTTCCGTACCCAATTTTCGATGGATCTTCTCTCCGGGTACTCTGGCTTCGAGATCCGCTACCGAGCGGCCTCGACCTCCGAAATCTTCGTGAACGGGATGAAAGTGTATTCTTTCCAAGCTCCCAATATGTCCGTGTCGCTTCCCAACCCTTCGTGGAAGACGATCACCGGTCTGATCTCCACGCTCCAGAGCGGAGTCAACACGCTCGTCGTGCATTTGAAGCCGTTCAGTGAGCCGACCGATCACAAAGCCCACTTTTTCGATGTATCTCTTCGTCTTCTCCACGACTATCTTTTCAACTCGCTCAACTCAGAGCTCTCCTTCGCGCCCAGCACGCTCTACCCGCTCTTCAACGGCGATCTCACCGACTCCTGGACCGCCACGATCTACCAGGGCCTCTACAACACGCTCACCTTGGAGTACCCCAGCGACTCCTCCTTCCTCGGCAATCGTCTCTGCCTCGTGAGCCATCCCAGCGGCGCGCTGCCCTCCAGAATCGACGTGCTGGTCGTGGTGAACAACGAGCCCCGCCTGATCCAATCGCTCTCTCTCAGCGCAGAGGACGCCGACAGCAATCCGTGCTGGGACCTGCACAACTACCAGGGCTACGCTCGCTACCAGCTCCGTTTCTACTCCCACGCCACCAGCAATACCGTTCAATTCTCGGAACTGCTCTTCCAATTGGTCCATCCCAACGCCTCGCTCACGCTCTCCTATCCCTCTCTCTCCGTCCCTGTCGGCGGAGAGCGTCTCTGCGTCACGCCCTCGCTCTCCCACAACGTCACCGTCGGCTACTGCGCCGTCGAGACGCCTCTCCCCGCGGGAGTCGAGCTCGACGTGGCCTCCGGAGAGCTCTGCATCGACGGTTCTCCCGAGTCCGAGCTGAGCTCCGACTTCGATGTGGCTTGCCACACGGTTCTGGGCGCTGCGTCGACGTCTGTGCACGCGAGCCGGTTCTTCCAGTCGTGCTCTACCGAGGAAGGCACGTCGGTGGAGCACGGAGAGACGGTGGTCGTGGGTCCGTGCGACGAAGGATACTCCGGAAACCGCGTGCAGACCTGCTATAACGGTGTTCTCTCCGAAGTGAGCGACGAGCAATGCCAGCTGCTTCCTCCCAGCGATTTCTCCTATCAGCCCGAGCCTTTTTACTATGTCCAAACCCCGATCTCGCTCTCGCCGTCGGTCACCAACAACGTCACGCTCTTCTCCGCCAACGACACCTTCCCCGAGGGCATTTCGCTCGACATGGAGACGGGCCTCATCGCGGGAATGGCCAGCGACCCCTACGACGACTTCATCGAGATCACGGCCAGCAACGCGGCCGGCTCGGCCACCTTCGTCCTCCACCTCGTGCTGCGGCGGCGCGTCTGCGAGGCCGAGGACGGCTGGCCTTCTGTGGCCTGGGGCGAAACGTCGCGCAAGGAGGGCTGCGGAGAGGGCTACGAGGGCTTCCTCACAAGACCGTGCGTGGAAGGCGTGTTCGGAGAAGTTTCTTACGATGAGTGCGTGCTGAGCGCGCCGAAGAACCTGGTTTACGAGCCGTCGGGGAACGAGGAGACGCTCTTCGTGTTCGATCCCGTGGAGTTGGTGCCCTCCGTCAGCGGGCTCGAGGTGGTCTATTCGTCGACGGCGCTCCCCGCGGGGCTGGCGCTCGACGAGGAGTCGGGCCGCGTGACGGGCCGATTGGAGTCGGACGAGGCGGTCGAGTTCACGGTGACGGCGGCGAACGCGTCCGGAAACACGACGGCGGTGGTGAAGCTGCAGGCGGTGTACCGGCCGTGCGTGGCGCTGGAGTATCTGGAGGAGGGGAAGAAGGGAGAGGCGAAGGAGGTGTCGTGCGCGGTGTGGGGAATGGAGGGAGTGAGAAGGTTTGAGTGCCAGCTGGTGGGCGAAGAGGTGAAGTGGGTGCAGGTGAAGGATGGATGCATGGGCGGCGCGGAGGTGGATATGATGGCGGTTATCGCGCTGATTTGCATCGTGATCGTCGTGCTGGTGGTGATTCTTCTCCTTGTGATTCTCTCGATTAGCTCGAAGAAGCGAGATAAACAGTTCCGTGTACAGACAATGGATGTCGCGTATGTTTAGTCTGTTTGTTTACAAACATTGGGTCGAGGGGGAATGCTGATTGGATTGGCATTCTTGCTGTGGATTATGGAATAAGTGATTCTTGTCCAATTCATTCATTCAATCAATTGATTGCTCCATTCAATCATCGATTCATTTATTCATTCATTCAAACAAACACCCCATTTACTAACCCCACTATCCTTCCTTCCTTCCTTTATTCGATGTGAACTCCCACGACCGCCTTCACGTCCAGCTGCAGAATATCGCAGTCAATATTCTTCCCTTCACTCCCTTCTCTCTCCCCTACCAAAATCTCACCGATATTCGGCCTCGTTCGTCCCAAATCGCCATGCACAAACTCCTTTATATACGTTCCCCCCGACGCCTCGATCTCCAGAATGAAGTGATGGCTGTTCACGAACGTCGTCTTCATTCCATAGACCACTTTATCCCGCGTCAGCAGCGACCGGCGATGCAGAACGCGCACCGGCGTTCGCTGCTTGATCGGCAAATCGTGGATTTCATCCAGCTTCTTCAGCTGCTCCGCAGTGATCGGATCCTCCGTGTAGATCACAGCCACGTACAATTTATGCTTCCCTTCTGCCGCATTTTTCATTTCTTCAAATCCAGCCTATTTCTGGAATTCCAAAAAATCGGCATACCGCTGAACACGGACGCAAATCAATGATTTGAATGCTTTTCGTGTTGTTATTAATCGAATCCTGCAAATTCTACCCTTATTTTAAAATTCCAAAAATACCCGGTATTCCTGCTCGCTCAAATCGCAGCGCTTTGCGTCCTCCATCTCCACCACAAACGGCCTTCCCTCGAACAGCATCCGCACATCCACGTCTTCTCTCCCCGCGGAATGGAACTTATACCCGACGGCCTACTCCCCATTTCCCCGATTTCCCTACTTTGTACACCCTCCGAAACGCCTCCAGAATGAACTCCTCGACGGACCCCTCGGTCTTCCGCTCCCCGTCGACGATCCTTTCCTCACTCCGCTCCCTTTCGCCTACCACGGCGTCTGGCTCAGGCCTCGCTGCAGCTTCAGGTAGTTCCCGGTCACGTAGATGGGCTTGCGGTAGAAGCTGAGCGCCGCGGTGGGCTCGTAGCTCGGCGAGCGCGGCGGACACTACGCCAATTAATAAATGAGAGAGAGAGCACGATGATCGAAGCCGGGAACTGCGTGTACTCCAGCTTCTGGAGGTTGGCTTCCACGGTCGCGGGGGAGTTCTGCTTGGTTTTGAGGATCACGCGCTGGCGCTTGATGCTGCTGTTGAACCAGCAGGAATCGCGCAGTTTCTGCTCCTCGATCGCTAGCCGTCACGCAGAGGAAGCAGAGAAACCGTGCAGGTCGAAGACGCCTTGCGCATGCTGCTGCTGGATGAGCTCTTCGTCTTCGAGGTCTTCTTCGTCTGGGTAACTCCCGGGAATCTGAAGAAAATCGCGGTTGGTCTCCAGGTGGACGAGGCCAAGGCGGATTCGCACCGGAGCGTTCATGTCGATGCTGAAGTGGAAGAGATAAAAGGGGGAAACGTGGAATTGGGGAGAACTTGGGACATCAGGTGCTCGAATTGGCCACGAAGAATATCTCGCGCCGACCAGATGCTGAAAACGATGTCTTTGGGAACGTTGAAGTTCGTGAGAAGGAACTGGAGATAGAAAAAAGAGAAAGGAAATGTACATTCATCAAAGAGAAGTGACGCACTTTGAGGGATGTGAGATTAGATACTTCGACGTAGTACTGTACGATATCCTGCATTTCGCTTTCCTTTAAGTAGGTTTTCAGCCAAGTAAGGCGGGGATCTTCCCATAAGCTGCAATAGTTTATAGGGTACCTTCATCTGTACAGGAAACACCGAGTGCTTGGAGTTTTCTTGCTATTTGGTAACTCGAAAACGAGAAAAATACCAAAAAACTGTTCTCGCAAAAAATTGAAACAAGTAGAGCAGATAAACTCTGGAACCACTATTTCATACGGATCTACACCAATTTCCGAAGCAATATACTCGAGCACTTCTTTTTCTTGCTTGAAACTAGAAAATCAGAAACAACAACACAATAATACAAATAGGAACGATCCTGAACATTGGAATATCGCAAAATGCAAAAAGGACACACGTGAACGTCTAACAGCTTCTTGACTCCATCGAGTTGTAGAATGCTCAAAACTGACATGATTTGACCAAGAAACTCGCTAAATCTATGGACTTTGGAAAAGCGCCATTTTGCCGGTTTAACAAACATCGCTATTTCTCTTCCTTTACATCATCTTTCTTCACAATAACCTCTTTCTCTTTCTCTTGTTCTTGCTCTTCTTGCTCTTCTTGCTCTTCTACTTCTTGATTTTCAAAACTAGAAGCCTCGAAGGGTACATCATCGTCTTCGTCGCTATTCTCCTCAGAGAACAACTCTCCATAATATTCTCTGTGCTCAGCAATGCAATCCTTCATCGCTATTGTAAAATCCATACACTTATCCACATAATCCTCGTCCCCCTTATGCTACACTCAATTCCATCTTCCATCGTTACCTCCTCTACACAGCCTTGCCACTGCGAGAATGGCCAACGGCAAGGACCACTCTTCATAAACACACAAAATGGACATTCCGATTCATGCTTCGGTTCGTTGCAACTATTAATATTTCGATTGAAAAATGCATTACATGTCGTTCTGACAGTCCATTCCGCGACTTGTACAAAGACGACCATGGAACACGATCTCCTCGTTTCGCATATCTTTCACACTAATATGCGTTTTTGGATAAGTGAAATATTCCGGAACTTCCACATTTTCCACGTTCGGAGTGTTTTCGAGAGGGACGTAGGCATCATCTTCCTTGGTGAGCAATCCTGCCTTTACCGCGCGGTCGACCAACAATCGGCCATAAATCGGCGAATAGGAAGCAGACGGAGTTTCGTTTTCACATGACAAAACCAAGTTGGGGTAGTAGTACACAGCAGGAGTGTCTTTCATTGTTAAGAGCAAAACTTGCGCGTGTTCGTCTTGGATCAACGCAACCACACGCAATTCCACTTCATTTCCCATAAAAGGACCGTACTCGTTGCAATCTGTGGGTTGCGGGTTTAACGCCAAAATGACTTTACGGCGAGGTCTAAAAATCAACGCATAGAACAAGACAAACACCACCCGATGGATCGAAGTAAAATGACTGTTAACAATAGCAGCGTTCTCTTCATTCAAATAAATCGAAATCTCCTTGACTCCATCCCACCATAGAGAATGCTCGTTTGTATTCTCTTGAGAGTAGATATCAATATCTGGAGGCAATTCAACAGGGACAGTTGTTGCATTCGATTTTACTTCCTCAGGAGCAGCACTTACTTTCGTAGAAAACCGCTTTTTATACAAAAATGCACCAACTGCAGCAACACCCGCTGTGGATAGGAGGATCTTTCCATACCGAGAATTGAGACCCTGTTTCGCAGAGCTATTCGATCTACAAATCGTATTTAGTGAATGAGCTTACGCCTCTGAGAAACCCATTTTAAATGGATCCACTCTACGGACGAGGCTCCTTCCTGCTTTCACGACTCTCCCTACCGTTCGAAACATAAAAAGTCTTCCAACAAACAAGACTACTCGGAAACCATCATCATAAACTCGACAATTCCGTTCTCCACAGCGCCTTTCTGCTGTTCCTCGGTCACTTCCGAGGGCTCATAACATCGTTCCCATGCGCTTCGAATTACTCCCTGTACGATCTCTCTGAGCTCCTTCGCGTCCTCCAGCAGACAACTCGTCATCGAAAACACGAACGCCAGGTTGACCACCAGACATCGGAATTGGTAATCATACAGCACGCTGGCTCGCACCTCCTCCTGCAAATTCTTCATCATCGTCCGCAGCATTCCCATCCACACGTCCTGCATCCCCGCTCGCACCTCCAGCGGCAGCACCTTCACGCGGGTCGCCATCGTTTTCTCGATATACGCGTACATTTCTCCCTCCTCCTCTTCCTCCGCCATTCCCGCGGTTCTGAACGTCTCCGGACACGGGTCCCGCGGTTTCACCGGCTTCTCCGCCAGCAACGCCCCGGTATTGCCGAATTCGGTGTAGAATTCCCGCACCATCCGCACGATTCCTTCCGCCACGCCTTCTCCCTCGGTTTCTCCCTCGGTTTCCCCGTTTCCCGGGTTCTCCACGGCGTGAGTCCACAGAGTCTCGGCTCCTCTCTCCGCGGTGCGCGCGCAGAAGCCTCGCAGCGCGGCGTTGGCGGCCTCGGTCCACGCCTGCACGAGCTGCGCGGCCTGCAGCGAGTCCGTGAGACGCTCCACGTCCAGCTGCTCAGATTCCGGCGTGTAGTCCATCAGCGACTGCAGAATCTCCCGCACGCCGCTGTGGGCCACGAGGCGGCTGCCCGCGGCGAGGGCGAGGATGCCGCGGGGAGAGAGAGCGAGGCCGGGGATCTGGGCGAGGAGGGCGTCGTGGAGATGCAGCGAAAGCGACGGACGCGGCGGCGAAGCCAGGAAGGCGGTCGGCTGCGTGCAGAGAAGCGGGTGCGGGACGCACAGCGACGCCAGCAGAAGCGACGCGCCCCACAGAAGCGTCTGCTGCACCTGCGCGTAGAAGTACTCCGTGAACGCGCCCAGAGACTCCGGCAGCGCCGTCTGCAGCAGCGACAGAAGGCTGTGCTGCCGCTCCACCGCCGCGCGCAGACGCGACGAAACGCCCGACGCGAAGAGGTCGCGCAGCGCCACGACTACGCGGTTATTCGCCGTTTCCCGCTTTCTACTCTCTGCCTCCGACGGTTTCTCCGGTTTCTCCGGTTCTGCAGGGATCGAGGGATCGACGGGCTTCGGGGGTTCCACGGTTTCCACGGTTTCCACGATGGGCGTTTCACCGGCAGGGAGGGAAACGGGGCCTTCGCCAGGAACAGGAGCGATCGTGGTCGAGAACAGATCCTCCATACCTCCGTTTCCACCGTTTCCACCGTTTCCACCGTTTCCACCGTTTCCACCGTTGGATTCTGCAGCGGGTCCCTGCGTGTTGGGCGTTTCGTCGTTGGGCTGGGGCGTTTCGTCAATCCGGTAGAGCGGCAATTCCTGCGCCTTCTGATCGATTTCCTGGACCAAAGCGACGAGGGAGGCGCGAACCGCATCGAAAGACCCGGCCATCTATTATGAGAGAACGCAGCGCGAAGCGTGCCTGTGTTTTGACGACGCTGCGGACGGTGGCCTGCATGGAGGCGATGAGATCGGTGCCCTTGACGATGTTGTCCACGCGGAACACGTGCTGCGACAACAAGTCCAACGCGGAACGAATCTCCCCGAACGGAGAGATGTTCTCCGGCTCCAGCACGCGCTACGACTCAGAAGGGTTCTCCGTTTCCACCTCGTAGGAGAGATCCTGCATGACGCGATCGTTGACGGCTTGGAGATAGCGATCCATGAGCCGTTGCGTGAAGACAAGCAGCGAGGCTTGCAGCTTCTATGGCTCATTCTTCCGCTCCACGCCCACTTCATCGCCTTGGAAAATATCGTTGTACGCCACGGCCACGTGGATTAGCAGCTCCACGAACTCCTACCCCTCACCGTTTCCCCGTTTCCCCACTTTCTCGAGCATGCCCATGAACTGGAGCAGCGGATACTCGCTGGTGACCTTCTGCTTGCTTCGCAGCGCCTCGACCTCCTGCTCGGATCCGCTCAGCGCGATGATTTCCTTCTCGTCTTCGCTCAGCGGCGCCAGCTTCTGGTATTTCTCGATGATCGCGGACAGCCGATCGCGATGGTAATTCAGATAGATCGTAGACAGGTCCGCCGTCGGGTGCCCCAGCTTCATCAGCAACCGCACGAAGTCTTCCAGCTGCGTCATGCGCACGTCGGGCTCTTGAATGGTCGTCAGCATCTTCGTTTTGAGCGAGTTCATGATCGTGTCCGCCGAATCCTGGATCGTGCTGAAGCTGCGCAGGTGGCGATAGTCGTTCAGAACCATCGTGGACGAGGTGTAGTAGTCCACTGCTTGGTCGTAGGCCTCCAGCTCCACGCAGCTGCGCATTACCAACACATAGGAGAGCTACCGCTGCAGACGAAGCGGGAGGTCGAAGAGGAACTGGAGCTTCTTCAACAGACGACGGACGCTCACGAGCTTGTCCACTTTGCTTCGATTTCCGTCCAGATTACTGCCGATTGTGTCCGTGACAGACGAAACCACTTGGATCCGTTCCCGAAGGGAGGACATGCGGGTTTCCATGTCACCCACGTTCTCCTACACGTTAGACATCCAAGCAAACACGAACTTGAAGGGTGCGGACAGTTTTGGATGCACTCATGAACCGGCTGTAGTTTTCATACACCAGTTTCTGCATATCCGAATCGAGCTGCTTTGCTTCGGATATGACACGCACATTCGTTTTGATCAGCTCAGGGAGCGACTGTTCCTTTAGGATTTTCTAATGCATCAAATAGGCAGTAGAACACAAAACTGGGATATACTTATCTTTATCGAATACTTTGCTATCCATATCATAATAGTCGTCCTCCTTCACCTCATCGCCATTATCTGTGCCGTAATAATCTTGGAGCATGGCACGAATGTTATCCATGGCATGATCCTCCTCTCCGTCAGAAATATCTGAAGCATCAAACGACATTTCTCGATAGAATCTAGTTGAAAGAGAAAATTGTACAGAGAAATCCCACGAAAAGGCATCTCGATCACTGAACGGTTTGGGCTATGATCATCATCAATCGAGTTTTGATTTCCTACAAACTTCATCAATATGGTAGATATAAATAATCCATATTAAGAATCTTATTCAGAAATGCCAGTAGAAATCGAATCTTGTTATTGGAAACCGTGTTTTGTTAGCGAGAGTTGAAACAAACACAGCAGTTGCAAACAATTAGTGAGTATTCAAACCTAGTTATACAGAAACTCGAATCGTAGACTCTGTACTTCTATAACGCTCATCAGCATAACTGAACATGTCATGCTTGCACAGAGGGCAGACGGTGTTGCAGCTATAGTCAAAATAGGAATGTGCAATTGTACTGAATCCACTGATCAATACATTTTTTGTGAAAGATGTGCTCACAAGCGCGAAGACACTATTTTCAATTCTCAATACAAGACATACAACTAGATCATTGGGCTGAGATCGAAACTCCTCGATACAAATAGGACAACTATCAGTGTCAGAATAATCCTGAAAATTATGTAACTATGGCGTAGTTGGTTCTTTCTAGCTACTTCTTCAACTGTAATAGCGAAATAGCAATCATGTGCATTTTCTCTCGAAATTGATGGAAATACAGGGGATACTGATGGAGACCTAATTGGTCAAATTGCCACATTTATCTCACTCTCTTCCTCTTCTACAGTGACAGTTTTGACAAAGTAAAATAATGCATTCTGTCAGCAATGCGACTAGACTCACACCAACAATCCCTATTATCAATATGCTTGATGAATGCTAACCGATGATAATGAAACCGGTGATTGGGTCCATAAAATTGTGAAATTGAAAAACGTAAAGGGATATACATTGAGTGATATAGAATCACAGGTAACCAATCACTCAAGTCTGCATAAACAAAACAAATCAGTAAATCCATATTCAAGCTACATATATTCGCAACTATTTACTTAAAAGACTTGTGGTATAAGCTCAAAAATCATCTTTAAACAATAGCTTTTCCATAAAGATGTACACATTCAGTACATTCGTAATTATCAATTATTAGTAATGAGTAATGTGGGGATTCATCCATACTATCATCTGTTGAGGAAACTGGAATTTGATCAGAAATTGACTCAATCCTCAATAGAGGTTAGTATTATCCATTTAGATGTATCGCATCTCACATTTCTTGTCATATAATAAATTAAATCGTAAGTTTGTTTACTATATGTTGTGAAATAATGATATCTTGCAAATATATCAATATAGAGTTCATATCTAACAGTTTTGTATAGATGGGCAATTGGTTGGGAAGATTCCTTAAGATGAAGAAGGATATGCGTATCCTGATGGTCGGTCTTGATGCTGCCGGTAAGACTACCATTCTGTACAAGCTGAAGTTGGGAGAGGTTGTGACTACGATTCCTACCATTGGATTTAATGTGGAGACTGTGGACTACAAGAACATCTCTTTCACTGTGTGGGATGTTGGTGGTCAGGACAAGATTCGTAACTTGTGGAGACACTACTATCAGAACACTCAGGGTCTTATTTTCGTGGTCGATTCGAACGATAAGGCTCGTATTGAGGATGCTAAGAACGAGCTTCACAAGATGCTTCAGGAGGAGGAGCTGAAGGAGGCTGATCTGTTGGTGTTTGCTAACAAGCAGGATCTTCCTCACGCTATGTCTGCTCCTGAGCTTACTGAGAAGCTGGGTCTTCAGAAGTTGACTGGTCGTCAGTGGTATATTCAGGCCTGCTGTGCTACTACTGGTGATGGTTTGTATGAGGGTCTTGATTGGCTTTCTGACGTTGTTTCCAAGAAGTAAAGTGATTTGAACTAATAGAAATAGCGTTTGTTATATTGGGTTGTTTGTTTGAATACAAGATATATGGAATGATTTGACAAATAGAATGATTGAATGTGTATTAATAAGATTGATACAGATACAAATAGTATCCAAACCATCTATTGAGGAATATGGGATTTGATCAGAAATTGACTCAATCCTCAATAGAGGTTAGTATTATCCATTTAGATGTATCGCATCTCACATTTCTTGTCATATAATAAATTAAATCGTAAGTTTGTTTACTATATGTTGTGAAATAATGATATCTTGCAAATATATCAATATAGAGCTTATATCTAACAGTTTTGTATAGATGGGCAATTGGTTGGGAAGATTCCTTAAGATGAAGAAGGATATGCGTATCCTGATGGTCGGTCTTGATGCTGCTGGTAAGACTACCATTCTGTACAAGCTGAAGTTGGGAGAGGTTGTGACTACGATTCCTACCATTGGATTTAATGTGGAGACTGTGGACTACAAGAACATCTCTTTCACTGTGTGGGATGTTGGTGGTCAGGACAAGATTCGTAACTTGTGGAGACACTACTATCAGAATACTCAGGGTCTTATTTTCGTGGTTGATTCGAACGATAAGGCTCGTATTGAGGATGCTAAGAACGAGCTTCACAAGATGCTTCAGGAGGAGGAGCTGAAGGAGGCTGATCTGTTGGTGTTTGCTAACAAGCAGGATCTTCCTCACGCTATGTCTGCTCCTGAGCTTACTGAGAAGCTGGGTCTTCAGAAGTTGACTGGTCGTCAGTGGTATATTCAGGCCTGCTGTGCTACTACTGGTGATGGTTTGTATGAGGGTCTTGATTGGCTTTCTGACGTTGTTTCCAAGAAGTAAAGTGATTTGAACTAATAGAAATAGCGTTTGTTATATTGGGTTGTTTGTTTGAATACAAGATATATGGAATGATTTGACAAATAGAATGATTGAATGTGTATTAATAAGATTGATACAGATACAAATAGTATCCAAACCATCTATTGAGGAAACTGGAATTTGATCAGAAACTGGCTCAATCCTCAATAGAGGTTAGTATTATCCATTTAGATGTATCGCATCTCACATTTCTTGTCATATAATAAATTAAATCGTAAGTTTGTTTACTATATGTTGTGAAATAATGATATCTTGCAAATATATCAATATAGAGTTCATATCTAACAGTTTTGTATAGATGGGCAATTGGTTGGGAAGATTCCTTAAGATGAAGAAGGATATGCGTATCCTGATGGTCGGTCTTGATGCTGCTGGTAAGACTACCATTCTGTACAAGCTGAAGTTGGGAGAGGTTGTGACTACGATTCCTACCATTGGATTTAATGTGGAGACTGTGGACTACAAGAACATCTCTTTCACTGTGTGGGATGTTGGTGGTCAGGACAAGATTCGTAACTTGTGGAGACACTACTATCAGAATACTCAGGGTCTTATTTTCGTGGTCGATTCGAACGATAAGGCTCGTATTGAGGATGCTAAGAACGAGCTTCACAAGATGCTTCAGGAGGAGGAGTTGAAGGAGGCTGATCTGTTGGTGTTTGCTAACAAGCAGGATCTTCCTCACGCTATGTCTGCTCCTGAGCTTACTGAGAAGCTGGGTCTTCAGAAGTTGACTGGTCGTCAGTGGTATATTCAGGCCTGCTGTGCTACTACTGGTGATGGTTTGTATGAGGGTCTTGATTGGCTTTCTGACGTTGTTTCCAAGAAGTAAGAAGCTGTTTGCGTTAGCGTTTCTCGGTGTTTGTAAACAAACCCACGAATGTTCTCTCAAGAGTTCACTTGATGAACTTAGGCCTTGGGAACCTCGGGTACTGGAGGTTCTTCAACCAATCCTTCTGTCTCCTTCTTCTCTTCTGCGGAATCGGTAGTCTTGTAATAGATGTTGTAGACATAATAGGAGCATGCAGCCATAGCAGCAGTTATGCATGTAATCAAGACGATCTTACCGGCTACAGCATCACCTCAGTGGAAAAGTCCTACTTCCAGCCATGTGTGTCGAACAAAAAGAAGAATAAAAACAACAGGTTCTCGGTTACTATCAAAACCCGATCACTCCAACACAACCAATTTCTCTTATTCCGCACCCACAATTGCAGAGAGCAGTAGAGAACTCTCTCCCTTCTTCATATCAATTCGCTGTACACGATAATCCAGAATGAGCAGACATATGTATCCCACAGTGAGAACTGCCAAAAGAATAATCGATTTAATAACAGCTCGATTCTCCATTTTCAAAAACACACCGATCACGAACTGCACCACATTTCCCAAGCTCTGCCACATCTTCAAATTCGCAATCGCAGCATTCCGATCGCGATCCAATCCAAAAAACGTCTGCAAAATCGCAGGCGGCTACATCGCACTCTTTCTCCATCCATACCTGCGATTCCCAGATCGAATCTCCCGCGGCCAGCAGCGTAATCGCGGTTAACAGCACGACATAATCGAGGAAACCGGCCTTGGCGTGGAATCGATAGAACACGATGGCTCCCAACGCGATGACCTGCGTAATGAACGCCACGGCGCAGCAGCCGCGTCGTCCGAGTCTTCCCGCGGCAAGTTTTCCGAAGAGCAAGGAGACTACAAGAATGAAGCAAAGAGAGAAAAGCGGACAGAACGCGTTGGTGCCGTAGAAAACGGAGGTGGCGATGAGAACGATGGACAGACCGAAGTACTGGTTGGAGATATCGTTCGTCACGTCGCCCACGATGAACGCCAGACTCATTCCGTTGAACAACGCCAGCGGCATCATCAGCTGGACCTTCGACGACGTGCAGAGCAGCGACAGCGTCGCGCTCAGACCCACCGTCTAAACATCAGAAAAACCGCGGGAGGCGACGTTAAGGGAGTCGTTTTGGGAGGATTGGGACTCGTACGAAGCGACGCTGGGTACGAGCATGAAGCAGAAGAAGGCGATAACGGCGGCAATGGAGAGGATCGTAAAGAGAACTTTGTTGTCCACGTTGGGGAACACCGCTTTGATCAGACCGCAGATCAGTGTTCCCACACAGCCGGTGAACTGGAAAATGGAGAAGAACAGACCATTGTATTCGCTTGTCATGTCGGCGAAACCTGGAGTGAGAAGGGAGAAGAGACATTACTCTTGGACGAGTGACGTGAGTCCCAGAGAGAGCAACGGCTAAGATACACACCCTGGGCGTTCCACAGAATGGCCGCGCCCATTCCAACTAAGAGATTGGCAGGGATCTGAATAATGCCGATTGGCCAAAAGTTGGCAATTACGACGAGAGCGTACGCAGCACTTCCAATGATCATGGATGTTCTACGGTAAAAAAACAGCACGAAACGAACTTTGGTCCAATCTTGCCCACAACCGCAGGTCCGACAATGGAAAATCCGGCAAACATACCATACAAACAACCGAGATTGATGTAGCCCAAGGCACCACTCAGGGAAGTCTGCATAGACTACCGTTAACGTCAAATTGCATTCTTACCTGGGATGTGTTAAATGCAAAAAACAAAAAGAAGAAGCAAGCACTCATCAAAAGGATGTGCTTGTAGTGACTTTGCTTTTCATGGTCGATATGCTACAGTTATATAGACATGCCTTATCCTACTTTTTCTTCATTTTCCACTAAAGGCTCCATTTGTAGGTTTTTTTATTGTGTGGCACACAGTGGTTCAGGTAAAGACTATAATTAGAATGGGGGATTGACCCAATGGATAAGGGTTAAATACCAAAATGTCCCAATTTAACAAACAACACAGTTACAATACCTCTGACTTTTCTCTTCCAAAAACAAGTCGTTACTGTTCCACCCCGCTTGAACAAGCTTTTCCAAATACAAAGGGAAACCAGTCTCAACCTCTACACATCAAAACACAATTCCTTCTCCACCATTCTTTGTTTGCTTCACCAAATCGATCAGCGTGTTGAAACCAACGTCTTGTACCCCGCTCTCCCTACAATTCGCGCAACTAACCAACATCGACTTAATCGCCTTGCGAAGCAAGAACCCATGATAATACGCCTTCAATTGGTCGTTAGAACTACTCAGCAAGCACCTCGACACACTACTCCGCTCCCACCTTCAGCGAGATTCCAATGATTTGCTTCTTCCTCCCCTCATGATTCACAATGGATCGAAAAATGCCTTGCTTCTATTCCTCACTCTCTCTCTCTCCTTTTCTCACATAGTCACACAGACTCACCACGTAGTTGCACCCCTCGAACAGACCCATAAACTCTCGCATCTCTTTCATCGATTTCCCGCGGGACAGCGTCGTTCGAAGCGAAGTTCCCACCACAATCGGCATGTCCTGCCCCTTCACCTTCAGGTACGGCAAATAGAACCGCTCCATCGACGCCACCTTTTCTGGCGGCAAAATTTCTTCGCTGTCCAAATAGTGCGACGTCACGATTTCGCCGCGCTGGAAATAACCGCGGGTTCATACTCCGACCTGGTAATTCAGCGTAGGCAACGACACACATCGCAAGGATTGATAGATGGAGAACAACGAGACCGCGCTAATGCACATGCTGCTCATCAGCACATATTCCATATGGCCGTGGCCGATCAGATTCGAGATCACAATTCCCAAAAACGTCCCGAAAACCGTGATCGCGACCGTCTGCGAGCCCTCTTTGGCTGTGATATCGCCCATGTTGTGGGCATTCACGAACCCATAGCGAATTCCAGCGCGCGTCGCGCTCCCCGCGAGCCACGAAATGTTCTTTCCCACGTTCGCCAGCGTCGCCAGGAGCAGAAAGGAGTGCGGGAACAGCGGAGTCATCACTTCCAGCCAGGTCGAGATCTCCAGCAACCACGCCGAGAGGATGCGCCAACCGCGGGAATCCGCGTCGAGACGGCTGTTGACCAGACTAAAGGGAAGATTCGCGGGAATTTGTACGCTGTGAAGGCCATACCGCCTAATTGCCCGAGACCGTCTTTTAAAACCCAGTTGAGGGCGGCGGCCATCGGTACCGCGCCAGCGCCCATTCCGATCGCGAAACTGCGAGGTAAATTGAGGGAGACTAAAGAGATACAGCATGGATTGCGTGCTCAGCACTCCGCCCGCTGCACTGAGACCCATTCCGAACGCCGCCCAGGAGCAGTAGTTGAGATACTTTCCTTTGACAGAGGATGGATAGTTCTAGAATGAAGGAGAGAAGGGAAAACGAGAACGCGTGGGAGAAAAATGTCGGTTAGCTTTAGTTTTGTGGTTTTAATGAATACTGGTAAGGTTAATGTGTGATTTCTCAACGATGTCTAACAATGGTACGAACAACATTGCGCTACAGTGCTTTCCTTCTTTATCCGATTTGACTCCTTGTCGAAAGTTAAAGTGTATAATTTTCCCTTGTAATACTCACTTATTCCCAAACTACGAAAGAGAGAAAAAGAACATGTGGATACCTAGTGGCGGCATTATCTTTGTCATCTTCTGGAAAAGGATCACGCACTTGGGAAAACAGCCGTGCACTTCCAAGAGAGGAGTTCAACGCCTTCGCGAAGAAACACGGCCTACCCACGAATCTCAATGTGCCCAATCCTTTGGCGGATACGAGCATCCCAACAAGTCTCCCACAACACAGAATTGTTGACTACGAAAAAACCTAGGATTATTGGAATTCAAAAAGTATTTAGAATCGCGTTTTCTCATTCATTTTTAAAGGTCAAACACGAAAACAGCGATAGTCTTCTATCACTACCATTGCTACAGCGAATCTACTATTTTGCTTGTGTTTCCACTTGAGCATTTCGATACATGTCCTCTTCCACGAGTCGTTTTTCGCGACAACACTTTCCAACCTCTATTTCACATCTTGCTGAGTATATATATATATATATTCAACAAACAAACTCACTTTTCGGTTCGCATTCTCAACTGGATCTTTTCCATCACCTTCTTCTTGCTTTCGCGAATAATCCTCTGCTTCTCCTTCTCCGACACATCCTTCCCTCCGCTCTTCACCAGTTTCTCCAGATCGCCCAGCATGCTTCCCGGTCCCACCTTCGCTTGCTGGAATCCGATCCGCGTCTTCGCCCTCGACCCACTTTCCCACACGCTTCCGAAGTTCGGCAGCCAGTCCTCCCCGGCCTCCTTTCCGCGCACCACGCCCACATTCAGCGCCTGATGTCTCTTCTGGAACCTCTGCTCGAACTCCTTCTGCTTCCGCCATCGCCGCATCGCCTCTCCGGTCTCCGTCGGATCCAGCCATGGCGGCAGCGCCAGCGAGTGCACGTTGCCTTCGCTCGATCGCGGCAGGGAGATCTACGCTGGACTCCGTTCCACACTGCTACGCAGCTCAATCCTGCGCCCGTCGCGCTCTCCGTGTGCTTCAGCGGAATCATCGCCGCCAGCTCCTTCTGCCGCGCCTTCTCGGCGTCCTGCGCGGCTTTCTGCGCGAGCTGCTGCTGCTTGCGGAGATGCTGGAAGACCAGATCGATCGGCCAGGGCTTCCACTCGCTCTTGGTGAGCTTCACGATCCCGCCGCCCCACACGCGACGACCCGTTTCCGTGCGGCCAGAGGGGTTTTGGAGGATGCCCGAGTCGCTTTGGAGGGTCGGGAAATGCTCGCCGAGGTAGAAGCGATCGCTGAGGAAGGGACCGGAGAGAAGTGAATCGAGCGGGTATTTCTCGAGGAGAGAGAGAGGCTTGGAGGGGACAGGGAGAGAAGGAGGAGGAGGAGGGGGAATGGCGGAGGGAGAGGGCGTTGCAGGACCCAGGTGGGGAAGCGAAGCGTCGAAAATCGAGGGAGTGATTTTGTTGTGGTAGATGTGGCTTTTGACGCGCTCGATGTACTAGAAATAAGGAAGCAGAGGGGAAGGGAGACTTCATCGCGGTAAGGCTCGCCGATGTAAAACCACTTTAGGTCGATCTCGTGGTGGTTTGTACCAGTTGCGCGAAAAAACTCATATACCTTGTCTCGATGCTCCTTTGTGCAGAGGTGAGAGAGGCAGTTCTTGCTACGAATTGAAAAGCTTACACTTCCAATACACGAGGAAGGGCGCTGTATCTAAAATCTCCTCTCCGCAGAAGGCACACCAAAAAGAATGCGTTTCCACACTCTGAATGCCACGCCCCGGCTCTGCTAACAAAATGCAGTTATTCACACGCTTCCGTTGCCTTTCGGCCCATTCTCGAAGCTTCTTTATGTGTCTAGGACTATAGATATGACCCTTTCCCTGTTCATGGTTGATTTTACAACAACGACAATAACTAAATGGCATTAAGGACTTCACTGCCGTCTTAGGGTACTAAGGATATTGAAACAGGAAAATGCCTCCAACAAACAAAAGTATGGACTTATTCTGTACCTCTATCTTCTCCCCTCTGTCTTTGTCGTGGAGAACTCTCCGCATAGCAGAAGTTTTCCAAATAGAGTCTCTTGGAGTATTTCTCAACTTCCTGACGAAGTTGAAGGATTTCCTCGCTGTCCGTGGTATTCATGGAATCCAAGACGTACTTGTTAATCCAATTCACCTTCTCTTTTTGAGATGACATGAGCGTCACCAAGCAAGAGAAAAATGAAAGCTTCTTCACTCAATAAATGTATACTCTTACATATCTCCACAATTCGCCTCTTTATGGCCTCAGATCCTCAATGGTTTGTAACTCAAACAACACAATATCGCACACACTCAACAACGAACTTCACCTTCTTCAGCCCAAAATACATCTCTACAGCTTATTCTCGATCCCCTCTCTCACCCATCAACTCGCTGAACAGCTCGGTAACAATCGAAAACTCGTCTTCCAGCGCGGAGAGCAGCGAAAACACAGAGAAATCCGAAGCCAGCAGCTTCCGACTCAGCTTCACCTCCTCGTCTTCCTGAGGAACGAATTGAATTGTGGGAAGCGCCGAGTATTCGGCTTGAATGAGCTGGAGAGAAGGGAAGAGAAGGTTGGCAATGAATGTTTTCTTTAACTAGAAAGGAAGAGAAAGCAAAGAAAGCAAACTCGAATTCGTTTGTTATCCGAATCGCATTGTTCGTAGGACTGTTTGTACCACCAGAATTCTTGATTGAGCTACGAGTGAACACAGTAGATTGAGCGAGCACGAAGCGACAGCAAGACTCGACGTTCTGAATGTGAATGTCCTGGATCGGATCGACGATCAGCAAATCATAGGTTTTCAGTAGAAAGCTAACGTCAACCGAACGAAACAAACCGACTTAAAAATGGATTCGTCGTTGAGAAGCAGCAGGGAAGAGCCATCCACGACAATCTCTAAGATCGGAATCACGATCGATGGCAGCTGTTTTTCTTTCATGTACGATAGGAACTCCGGTACGGGAAGCATCGAGCTGGTCAAAACGGGATGATGGCGAAGCAGCGAGGGAGTGTGCAGAATGTAACTAATCAGCAATCGAATCCGATCCTGGAGATTAAAGTGAGGAACAAGCCCAACGGCACAGCCTCGATTGGAGATGTAAACAAAGACTAAGCGGGAGATGGGAAGCGAAGGAGGTGGAAGCGGTGGAGGTGTGGGTTGACGAGAAACAGGACGGTAAGGCTGATGGCAACTGGAGAGCTGGCTGTCGAGTTGGTTGAGAATGGAATTCATTTTGGACTCGAGAGAGAGGGGAAGGTTTTTCACGGAGGTTAGCTGAGGCGGGATGGGAGATGGAGAATTCAAAGAAGTGGGTGGTAGATGGGAGGAAGAGGGTTCGATGGACCGTGGAGGTTTGAAAGGAGCCGAAGGGAATGAGTTGGATGGTTTGGATTGAGTCGGAGAGGACAAAGGAATTGAATTGATTGCGTCGGGGGAAGACGAAGGTTCAGAAGGCGATTGATTTGATGGCAGTGGTGAGGCTGACTGGAGATGATCGTTCTTGTTGGACGTGGAGGAAGAACGAGGGAGAGGTGAAGGATGTGAACAAATCGGAGAATCAGCGGAGGATGAATTCAAAGCGGTTGGTTGAGAGATTGGAGCGTGATCCTTCTGGGTGGTTCGGTGCGAGATTGGCGAATGATTCTTTGTTACTGGGAAGAAATGGGTGATGGACTGTTGATTCGCGGGAGGCGAAGTGGGCATCGGAGGTAAGCAATCATCCGAAGAACTCTGCGGAGAAGAAGCCAAAGCAGTTTGGTTGGAAACTTGTGAATTTCGAGGGTGGGAATCGATCAATTGAGAGGGAATGGGAGATTCAGTCGTTGCCTTGATTTCGGTTGACTTAATGGAAAGTGAATGATTTGGACCTTTAGATTCAGACTGAATTGGAGAATCGATTGTTGTGATATCATCACTTGGCTCATTCTGCTCATTCTGAATAGAAGAGTCGATCGTTTCTTTGATTTCGGTTGACTCATTTGATTTGGTTTGGACGGGAGAATCAATTTCTGGTTTCAAATCGACTGTTTTCTCATCTTCCCTTTGCGGTTCCAATATTTCTTTTGTAGGAGACTTGGTTGCATCCTTCGCAGACAAAACAACAGTCGGCGAAGCAGAAATCGGTTCTCCATCGGAACATTTCACTTCCTTTTTGTCAATGACTCCACTTTCTACAACCGATTCATCGATTTGTTTTGGTTCAAGATAACAAGTAGAATCATGAGCAATATCACTTTGGATCTTATCGTTGGATTTCACTTCGCTGATCGATTCAATCTCGGACGGTTTCTCCATGGGATTATTGTTCACATCATCCTGCTGATCCCTTTCCTCCACTTCAATTCTATTTTCTTCTTCCATTTTGTTTGACTCTATCGAAGAGGAAGAATCAGCATGCCCCTCTTCTATCTCCATTGCTGATTCGACTTCCTTCTTTGCCGTCTCTTCCTTCTCACTATTCACATTATCCTTCTCAGCTTCTTCAATTTCCATATCGGGTTTGTTTTCTTCCTCAATCTTCAATGGCGATTGAGAAAACACTTGTGAGATCTCCAAATGGACCGAATCTGTTACGTTCACCGTTGAAGAGGAATTATCAGTAGTGCTGCTTGGCTCATTCAATTTTGGATTACTCGTTACAGTGATTTCAATTTCACTACTTGAATTCACTGATGTGGCACATGGTTCACACTCGATGAATTCACTCTTCGTTGTTTCCAAAGCATTCAATGTAATGTTACTAACAGATTTGTCGCTTTCTTCATTCGACTGATTCGATTGAGAGTTATTTTCTCGAGTTAATGATTGAGGTTCTATGCTGATATTTTGCTCTCCTTCACATTCTATCTTTGTTTCAGTAGTTTCATTTGCTTCATTCATTTCAATTGTTTCAGTTACTTCAGTTGCTTTGTTTTCTATGTTTGGTTCATTTGACTCATTTGTTTCATTTGCTTTATCGCTTGTTTCAATTGTTTGATCGACTGTATCAGTAGTTCCATTTGTCTCAAATGTCTCAGTAGTCTCAGCAGTCTCCTTTGATTCATTTGTCTCAGCAGTTTCAGCAGTTTCAGCAATCTCTATAATCTCTTTAGTTTCAGAAGTTACAGCAGTCTCATTTGACTCAACACTCTCATTTGATTCATTTGACTCATTCGTTTCACTTGCTTTATTCCTTGTTTCAGTAGTTTCATTTGTCTCATTTGATTCAGTAATCTCAGCAATCTCTCTAGTTTCAGTCGTTTCTTTAGTTTCATTAGCCTCTATTGTCTCAATAATTACAGTAGATCCATTAATCTCTTTTGCCTCATTGACCACACTATCTTCTTTCGTTTCTTCCATTTTGCTTGGCAGGTTATCTAGTGGCTGCTCAGGAAGAATCTGATCACAACCAGCAGAACCAATCACTTGATCAGGTTGGAACGAGTTCAATTCATTGTTTGGAGCAGTTTCTTCACATTGAGGTACTTTTTCACTACTCTCAGTTTGATCTGATTCAGCAGATATCACATTCCCATTGCTGCCACCAATTGATTGTTGCTTATTTTCATCTTGCGGACAATCAACTTTATTTATGTTTTCCAATTCAATCTTCTCCTCAACAGCTTGCTTGGCTTCCTTACACTCATCAGGAACTGATGCACAAGCCTCTTTTTCCAGATTTGCATCGATAGTTGCATTCAATGCACTGGTATCGACTGCCTCCATAGATTGTTTCTGTGGAATATCTGGATTGGAAGGTGGAATAGCACGACTCTCCACGGGATGAGCCAAGGGGTTTGAACGTAAAGCTTCAGAATCCACGGAGTCCTTCATCGTATTCACTTCACTCACAGTTGAAGACTCTTGAAACAGTTTTGACTCATCTTCAATTTCCATCTTTATCGTTGCTTGGTGGTCTTCTCGATTCACTTCATTCACTTTGCTATTTCGAAAGGAGAACATAGAGTCAAGCATTGTCCCCCCGATATCAACCTTTCTCCTCTTATCCGGAGATGGAGGCGTTAGTTGAATGCAGATTCCAGTTGAAATTGTGTCGTGATGCTCAGTTTGTACCTCTTCGTTCTCTTTTGTGGGTGATTTTGGCTTTCTTTGAATCATTATCTTTGGAATTGAGAGGTGGATCATTTTACTGGCTCTTTCGGTAAGAGACTGAGCATCCACCATGCGCTTCAAATCGGACAATGTTTCCTTTATTGTCTTCAATTCCTCTGTTTCAGCAGACATTCTTTTGAGAGTTGTCCCACTCATCTTTTCCCTCCATTTGTATTTTCCACGAATTATCGATTATCGATATTTTGCACACTGTTTCTATCCTTTTCAGACTTGAAATGAAGAGGCAGAAAGATTTCCACCTATTATTGTTTTGCTTCGTTTTTTGCATTCTGCACAACCACGCATAGGTATTCGTAAAATGGATGGATGGATGGATGGATGGAATAAAATGGCATGGCGGTCTTGTTTAATTCCCGCGGCAAAAAGTTTCCTTTTCTACCAAAGAATGGGGGAGTTTGCTCTTTTCCACTCCATAGTTTTTCACTTTCTAGTTCTTTAGCCAATTTTTTAGTATACCATGGAAGGAGATAAAACACTGGACATGGACATCAAGAAGCCTGAAGTAGCTAACAATGAATTGAAGGTGGACTTAAAAACACCCACTCCAAGTGTGGTTGTTCCCGTTGCTCCGGTCGAAGAGAAAAAAACGGAAGAACTGCCAGTGGTTCCCGACATCTCCATTACAAACAATGAGGTTTGTCTCGGGATGCGTTGTCATTTATAGTTCGCAGTCACCATCGTCAAGACCGTAACTGGTACTGGCTGTCTGACAATTCCCTTTACCATTACGCAGGTATTATTCGAATCTGCCTCTCATGTAGCTCGGAATTATTCCGGCGATCATCGTGTTTTTTATGGTTACCTTTGCAAACATTATCAACACACATTACCTTATCGAAGCCAACGAAGGATTAAAAAAGCGAAATCTGAACATTCGTGGTGGTCTGAAAATCGATAATGACTACGCGAACTTGATGTACCAAGTTTGTGTTTGTTTTTTTCGTCACCACTAGCTTTACGGTATGAACGGCTACTACGTCTTCCTGGTCTTCTTCTACATGACCGTTTGGAGCGTGATGCTGGGCACGATGATCAGCATGTTCGAATTCATCAAGGATCTTCCCTGGCCGGAGTCTTTCCTCGGCAACAAAACGATCCGTGACCTGATTCTCCACATTGTAAGCACCCTGTGCTGCTACGTGCTGTGCTGCATCCGGAACACGAAGCAACTCTTCTTCGTGTCTTGGTTCGGCATTTTCACGCTCATTCTCGCTTACGTCGTGGTCGTCATGTCTTCTCTTTTTATTTCTCTCACTCCCAGCTTCGGGTTCTCCACCTACTCCATTCACTTCGATCCGCAGCTTCTCTGGAGCCGCGGCATCAAAGAGTTCTTCGCGAATCTCGGCGTGGCTCCCTACACGCTCGGCTACAACTTCTGCTTCCTCACCTACTTCGTGCCTCCTCTCCTTCCTCCCTCACCGCTAGAAGCAAGTAGCTCGCGCCCAGCAGCCCCAGACATTCAGCGTGACCATGAAGAGCATTCTCGGCGTGTGCGCGGTGTACATGATCTTCGCTGTGCCCACCACCATCGCGTTCTCCTCCGGCGGCGACGCCTCGAACAACTGGAACATCGCGGACAACATCGTGTCTAATCTGGGCAACGGCGGCTGGGGCGTGTTCATTAAAGTGCTGATGTGGGTGTCCTGCGTGTGCTCGCAGCCCGTGCTGCTCAGCTCCACGTCGGAGTTGCTGGAGAAGAACTGCCCGGTGACGAAGAACACGTTCTTTGTGTGCGATCGGCAGCGACTGCTGATTCGTTTCTTGCAGATCGGAGCGTTGAGCTTCATTTCTTACGTGCTTCCGTTCTTTGGGGAAGTCATCAATTTGTATATCCTTGAGGTTGAGGGGGTTGGAGGGGCCCTTAATGCGCACTTGGCGGGTTTGCGTTCGTTGCGACTTCGATTTTGATCCCGGTGGTGATTCATTATTCCGTGTTCAAATCGACGATGCGAAAGCGACAGGTCCTCACTCATGTCATTTTAGGCATTGCTGCATTCCTTTTGATGGTGATCGCCACGGTGTTCTCGACTGTGAAATTAGTGGAAAGCATGTCGAGCAAGTGAACCTATTCATTCTGAAATGGTTGTGTATTGTGTTTCTTGAGACAAACAACAAACAACAAACAACAAACAACACACTCCTCACCTTCGTTGCGATCGACGCTCTGCTCGTCGCTCTTCGCGTTGTTGCTTTTTCAGAAGATCGCGTTCGTGCTTGGATAACCGCTTCTTCCCTTCCACCTGCTCCTGACTCGACTTCCTTGCTTTGCTTGGCGTCTCCTCTTTGCTTGCTTCTTTGTCGTTTTTCGCTTTGGGACTCTCCACATCGTCGTCCGGCACTTCCATGCCTTGCTTTCGATCGCAATCCACGCCGTCATTCCGCTCGCGTCCCAGCTTCTTTTCATTCTCCACCTTCAAAAAGTTCTCCCTTATATCCTCCATCGTCACCGTCTTCTTCCCCGCCGCGATCTTCATCGAACTAATCGTCGAATAGATCTCCGAACCCAGATCAGCACGGCGATACAGCAGCACATACGCGTTTTTATTCACCACTTCTCCCTCGCGCACCGCAGACACCGACGAATCATTGTACTCGAACCAGTTGTTCTGTGCGTTGTATTCGTCCTTGCAGTACGCGTAATAGTGCCCAAAATCTGCCGTTCCGCTGTGATTCACGACGCCTATTAATCGGTAATGTGCCTGTGCAGGCGAGGGAAGCTGGCTCCGCATGGAAGGAAGCAGAAACTCGGTCATGTCCAGATCATCCAGCGGGTAGTCGACATAGGTGTTGATTTTCTGCTTCCCAAGCCGCGATCGGCCGTTCACGGAATACTTAAATCGCTTCAATTGGATGAGGAGAAGAGGAGGAAGTCTCGATAAGTAGGGTGTGGTTTCGAGGGTATTGGAATCATGGCATTGCTGACAAGTGCTATAAAGAGTGAAAAGTAAAGAGTGGAGAGTACTTCGATCCTGTAAGCAGCACAGAGGACGTTTTCTTCAGCTCGATGCAGTCGTACAGAGAGAGCTGCGTAGTCTCGTCTCTTCGCCTTCGATCTCCCTCCAGCGACTCTTCGGCGTAGCAAACCGGCGAGGGCTCCAAACACACCGCCTTCACCAGCGATAGAACCACCTCGTTTTTGTTCTTCACGCCTTCGAAATCGAAAAAACTCGGAATCTGAGAGGAAGACAGCGTCGCGGAAAGAAGCACACAGCGATAATCCGATTTCGTGTTCACTTCCGAAAACAAGGAAATCACAGGCGAAGATTCCCGCGGGATGCGCTGCATGCACGAGAAATTGAAGAACGGCTGACTCATTTCGCTCAGCGACGTCGCAAATAAAAGGGGAAACTTCAACGGGGGAACCGAGGTTTCCACGTTTTCTTCTCCGTTTCCCTCTGCATTGGTTTGCTCGCTAGGCACGGGAGTTTCTTCGGTTTGGGGCGTTTCGTTCGCTTTGGAAGGATCTTCGCTGTTTGATTGGCTCGCTTCGTTTTGGGAATTCGGTTCGGATTTTGCATTTTCCGCGGTTTTCTCTACTACTTCTTCTTCTTCTTCGCTTTGTTCTTCTGCAGCATCGTTCTCCTTTTTCTCCTCATTGGACGTTTCGTTCTTCTCCGTTTCCCCATTTTCGGTTTCTTCGTTCCCCGCCTCCACGTCGAAGAACAAACTGTTTTCGAAATAATCCACGGGAATCGGCACCTGGGCGTACGCCCGATCGTACTGGCCTGCCGCCTTCTGATTGCTCAGATTACTGTACAGTCGGTTTCCCGCGGAAATCCGAAGCAGTCGCTCAAATCGACGCCACACAGTTCGCATGGAGTCGGTGCGTGCGAAACAAAACAAGAGAGGAATCGTTACGGTGTTCGCTCGAACCTTGTAGCATTCGTAAGGATTGCTGGACGAACTTCCGTTTAGCTGTAAGAGCTGCAAGAGAGCGACGTCGAGAAACACGGGGATGGAGTTCTTTTGCGTGGGAGGCACGAAATAAGCAAGAATCGAAATCGACTTCGGAGAGGCGAATTCAGAAACGAGCGTCGATTCGACAATTCGAGAATACTATTCCTCATGATTCAAACCGGACCCATACTTCAATATTCCCTTTCACCTGCTTTCGTAACAAGTACACAATTCGGCTACATTTTAGGAATTCCGAAAAATCGATGGAGGATTCATGGAAGGAGTCGCTCTGCTTGCAGAGCTGGTCTCGCAGCCGCATGTCCAGAACCTTAATGGGGTCGCTGGACTTCACAGAGAGCGGGAGAGTGAAGTAGAGAAGGTTCACCACGTCTTCTTTCTGCGAATAGAGCTGCAGAACCAGCGTGAGTTTGAGCGTCACGGAGTTCTTCTGGACGGGGACGTAGAGAGTGTTGAAGGCGGAGTAGTTGTAGATGCACTGCGGATCAGTGGAGAGCGAAATGAGTACTTTTTTGCACTTGGTACACTGGATGCGGTTACAGATCTCGCCGTAGAGCACGTCCGTGAGGTAGTTGCTGTTGCAGGCCTTGTAGTGGTCCCACCATTCTACCGATTTGTCGTAGATTAGGGAATCCGTCTCGTCGCTTTCGGGCAATTGAGGAATGTAGTTGCTCTCCACAGACTTTATTCCCTCTTGCGGCTTGTTAAGCTCCTCTTCAATCCCTTGGAGCACAAAATTCTATGAAATCACCTCGAAGGAGCAAACTCACCAATAACTCGTGGGAATCATGTTGGGAACCGTCGCAGAGATAGGACGCAATGTTTTTCATTGCTTTACGAAACTGCTGAGGGTTCTGACTCTTTGATGTGGTTGTGTAATGATTCCGGACTAACTTCGCGAATTCTCGCACGATTTTATACTTGTCATTTGTTTTCCCTTCCTAGTTGTAAGGCAATTCGTCACTCAAAGACAATCGGGTCTTCTTCAGTATCTAAAAAGGGAATTATCACCTCGGGAGAGTGCATGAGCAACTATTCCATGACAAAAAAGTGTTAGGTTGTTACCTGTAAAGCGGCATTCATAAAGCAGGTATTACCACCATTTGCCAATCCGACGCGTCCTCGCGCACCTTCTTTTGACATGAACTAAACTTTGAGGAATAATGTGATTCCAAAACTCACTTTCTGTAATGTATTTGGTATTTTCATTGTGTGTGAGGACAATTACTAAGTGATATTGGAAGAAGTTGTTAGACAAGGGTCGTGTATTGTTTTGGAATAGGTTGGCTTTGATGTATTATTTCTCTTTGTTGCTGATTCTTGTCACAAAACCAATTTTCCTGGAACAATATGGGAAACTCTCTGGAAACAAGTTAGTTCTTGTATTATTCGTGTTTCCACACTCTTGTTTATTCCATTGTACATATATAACATACCAATCTCCTTGTTCAGTACAAATATAAATATCACTTTCAAAATTACAACTATCTTCTGAAGGTAAGTCAGCATCCGATTATCGACCTCCAGTAAAAGTACCTATTTCTACAAAACTCCACACTTCTCAAGATAGAACCCTATTAACATTCACAATCTACAATCCACCTTATCTCACATATATTCAACACTAACAATACGACAATTAAACAATAACCAAATTCTATCCGTATGTACTACCCAACTATCATTTTATCACGATTAATTTCCACTGAAATACTTCAAATAGAAGAGAAAGTACCATTCTCTGTTTTCCAAGAATCGGGACAGTTTGCGATCATTCGACCCAAATAATTAGGGGTATAAGATCTACAAAAGAGTGTATTTCTAATGGGAAATATTATAATCTACTCAAAAACCAAGTCCCGTGGTATTGCCAATACCACTACATCAGAAGGGAAACTCATTCCTGTCGGAGTGTTTTTAGTACTGTTATTTGTAGTATCAAATTGGAAATGGGAAGTATATGAAAACGGGACTTGCTCGAAATCCGAAAGGATACATGGTCATTAAGGCATTCCAAGTGCCCTCGGATGTAAAAACCCTCCGCCAGCACGAAAAATATATGGATTATGTGAATTCGAAGTTAAATCCGATCGAACAACCAAATCTGGCTCCTTTCACTGTATTTTGTATTTTGCATATTTCATTTTAGCGCTTTTTCTTTGATGAAAAGACCCAGACTGAATATCTTGTTCGACCCTACTTTCATAGCTGCCTAGACGCTCGCCTCAAGTAGATCTGCGTTTTTCCATTCATTTCTAGTTCTCGCCCGTTCCCTAGTGATATTGAAAAGCGCTGGATCGTGTACCAGGGTCTTCAAGTAAGATGTGGTCTATTCTCGATGATTTTTTAGGCATTGCAGCAGCTGCACAGCCAGAACCTGTCTCACGGTGACATTAAGCCCGAAAACTTCGTCGTGACCTCTACGGGCTGGGTGTATTTAACATATCCTCATATTTTTGTTGGCTGCGTTCCTTCATTCCACGGATTTCGGTTACTACAAACCCGCACAGCTCTCTCTCGAGGACAACATCTACAGTGTGTCTCTATCCTCGTTTTAACCCTAGCCTATTTCTCCTACTTCTTCACCTCGCAAAAGCGCCACGCCTGCTATTTGGCCCCCGAGCGAATCGTCCAGTATCCCATGTCGCTTCTCTTCATTTCTGTCATGCCTAGCGGCGAGATCACCAACGCGAATCCTCCCTGCTACACCGACGGAACGCTGCCTCCTGACCAGCCCTGCGATATCCAGTAGGAAGTTCGGAGAGAAGCTTCCCGTAGCTGGAGCTCGGATATCTTCTCGATGGGCTGCGTCATCGCGGAGATCTTCACCCACGGCCAAGAACTCTTCGATCTCAGCTCCTTGCTGCGATATCGATCCGAAGACGTGGATCTCAGCCCGATTCTGAACCGAATCTCGGACGAGAAAATCCGAGTAGGGACACAGAAACACATCGATTCCTCTTAGGAGCTCGTGGAGGCGATGATCAACAAGAACGACAAGGAGCGAAGCTCCGCCGAGCAGTATTCCAAAGGATTTTTGATTGAAGAGCAGATATCTGAATCGCTTCACGAACGACGACAGCGTATTCCCGATGATTTTCCGCACCATGGTCTATCCGTTGTTCCGCGAATCCATGCGTGCCGTGAACTGCGGAAGCGACGCTCGCATCGCTTTGGTGCTGAGTCGGTACACCGAGATCATGCAGCGTTCTCTTCGATTTCGTGCGGGTGACGCGTAGAAATGCTGGGCGTGCGGAACGTCAGCAAGGAAGAGCGCTACGCGCACTACGCGCTGCGTCTCCAGTCGCTTCTGGAGCGAGTGCGCGGGATGAGTACCGCGGAGCCCGCGCCGAATCGCTGCGTCAGCCTCAATCTGGACGGGTATGAGAGCAAGATCGGCGAGCGACTGGCCTCGCTCGAGAAGAGCATCGCTGCGTTGAAGCAGCGCATGGAGAGCGGCGAGGACGCTGCGCACGACGATCAGCTCGCGAAGACGCCCACGCCGATGGGAGATCATGTGCTGGAAGTGGAGGAGGAGGTCGACGAGCGCGTTCCCGCGCTGCCGTTCGGCAAGGAGAGCATTCTGCTGGTGTTGCCGCTGGTGACAGCGTCGCTGCGCAGCGTGAAATACGCGGTGAGCAAGATCTACGCCATGCGATTCCTGACCGATCTGAGCCGTTATCTGGACGACGAAGTCGTGCTGCATCGCATTCTCCCTCACCTCGTGAATGTGCTCATGGAGGCGTGCAGACCCGTTTCGCCCACGTCGGAATATGCTTCGGTGATGAGTGAAGTGGGGGAAGGAAACAAGACTGAGGGATAGGCGATTCGATGCATCACCAGCGTGCTGAACTGCATCCACACGCTTCCTCGCTCCGATTTCAACCTCGTTTCCACGTACATTCTCCCCGCCATTTCCGCCGCCCAAGAAAAGTCGGATCCCCGCGGGAGCGTGACGCCTAGAGACGACTATCAAGTGAAGCTGACGGTGGCGGAGTGTCTGTCGGACATCGCTCTGTCAGGCCGCCGATTGCTGAACGTGGAGCAGAAGGAGAAGATCTACGAAGCCCAGACGCAGAGCCAGGAAGCCGACAAGACGAAGATCAGCGTGGCCAGTTCCTACAGCGAGGACATCGAGCAGCTGCGCGATAGCGTGCGAATGTGTCTGCTGCGCGCGCTGAGCGACTCCGACGAGGAGTCTCCCGCGGTAAGCGTCCAGAACGCCGGTTGACCGATTGTAGATCGCGTGCGTGATCATCCAGCACATGGACGATTTCTACACGTTCTTCGGGTATAAAATGTTCTTCGACATCATCGCGACGTCGTTCATGGCCAAAGTCAATTCGCCGTCGTTCTACGTGAAGTTCCTCGCGATCGACGCGTTCTCGCTGCTCTATCGCCGCTCGACGAACGGACTCACCGATTTCATGACGGTGATCATCAACTCGGTGTACAGCATGCGCCACATGGTCATGCTGAAAGTCCTCTCCGTCTTCGTCGCGCTGCTCGAAGACCAAGAAAACGTTCTGCCCAAAGAGACGGCGGAAGCGATCATCCTCACCATCGTACTTCTTTTTTGATTGAGAGTGCTGATCAAAATAGCGGCCTCTGCTTCTGCATCCCAACCCTGCGATCCGCGAGAAAGTCATTCAATGCCTGCTTCTGATGGAGCGCGTCTATCCCAAGCCCACCACCCAAGCGATGATGATTCGACTCATCCAGGACTACTACGACTGCCCTGTCTTCTACCTTCCCTGGACGCGCGACGCGCTCACCGTCCACCTCCACCCTCCTCTCGACTACACGCAGCTGGAGGAGGCCGAGAATGCCGAGGGCGTCGAGAAGCAAGAGCGCGACCGGCAGAACGGAGGTCGCCGAGAGAAGATGAACGTGATGATCGCCGAGGCCACGCTCGATTTCGATATGGGAACCGACCTGGTCACGCCCGACGTCTTCACCAAGCAGATGTACATGCGATCGTTCATCCGCTACGAGCTCGAAGCCGACAAAGCCAGCGCCGCCGCCATTCAAAGACGCGTCCGCCTCGCCATGATGGGCGACGATGCTTTGAATCGAACCAAGTCGCGCGCTGGATCGCTGTACATCCCCGCGGGAGTCGGGATCGACCAGCGACGCCCGTCGATCAATCAGCCAATGACATCGCCGGAAAAGCCGACGCGTCGGTATGTGCCGAATATTGGAAAGAGTTGCGATGAAAAAAGGGGGTCATGGGTAGATGTGAATCGCTACCAGCCGAGCGGAGATCTGGTTCGATGCGTCGAGACCGAATCTCTGACCAGCGTGACGCATTTGGCGACGATTCCCGTGGGAATTGGAGGGTTGAGTGGACCGTAGGGAAGCAATATTGTGTATTGGGGAAACGAAAGCGGAGAAATCGGGTATTTGGACACTGGGAAGCTGACGCGGCGCGATTACAGCGGATTGGTGATCAACCACGTGGTATGGAATAGTGTTCCTTTGTGAAGGCAGAGCGCCGGGATCACGAATATGCATCTGTGCGCTGACGGAACGCATTTGATTTACTCGACGGCGGACGGCCATCTGCTGATGCTGAACATCGAGTTCGCTTCCTTTTTCTTGTTCGTTGACGCGCAGAACGCACGCGGACGATTCGTTCTCGCAGGAGCAGGAGTTCTCCTTCACCGAATCCTCGCTGATCACGTCGGTGAGCGCGCCTTCTTCGCGACAGAACTGCTTCTTCTACGCCTCGATGAACTCCATTTCCCTCGTCGATTCCCGCGTCTACAAGCCCGTCACGCGCATTCCCGTCAACAGCTCGCTCGGAGTCATCACCAGCCTCGCTTACGGTTCGCTTCTTTTCGGCTCCTCACCTCCAGACAGCGCCAGCGAGATTTTGGTGGCGTCCACTTCGCGCGGATCGATCCAAGTGTACAACATGCGCTACCCGCTGCTCGTTAATCTCTGGCAGCAGTCCGACCAGGCCTCCATCACGCGAACTCGCCTGGGCCAGCGGTAGCCTCGAGGACGCGCGTTGATTCTAGGCTGGAGTCCATTCCGACGCTGTGGACCGCGAGCGGAAATAACCGCGTGTATCTGTGGAATCTGGAGTCGGGAGAGTGCTGCCGCTCGCTGCAGGTCGGCGAGCAGTCCGCTGTGGAATTGAACCACGTGTCGCTGAAGGTAGAGCGAGCAGCCAGGTCGTGAAGTGCAGAACTTGAACGAATCGACGTTCGGATTGGTGGATAGCCACATGCCCGTCTATCAACACAGCATCAACGCGATGGTCATGCCGCCCTATCTGAACTCTTACTCGCCTTGTAGACGCTGAGGAGCGAAGCGTAACAGATAGACGATCCGAGCTATGTGCTGACTGCTGGAGGCGATCGCTGCGTGCGATTCTGGAGCTTCGAAGAGTCGGAGCCGTCGTACACGGTGTGCAGCGTGGAGAAGAGCGGCGTGGAGGACTACTACAAGATGGAAGGAACGGTTTGCAAGTGCGTGGAGGCGAAGAGGGACATCGCGACGTCGTCGAGAAGCAGCGAAGTGCATCCAGTGCATCCGAAGGCGATTACGGATATGGTGGTGACTGGAAACGAGAAGGAAGAATTGCTGCTGACGAGCTGCATGGACGGAGTAATTCGAATTTGGAAGTAGTAGTAGTAGTAGAAGGAATGAGTCGAGTGTTTGTTGGATCCAACAGGGAAAGAACACACTACTAAATATACTTGGAGCTTTCTCTCTCTTTTCGTTTCACATACAAGAATTGAAGGACGGAAGAAACGAGTCCCACGATCGAATACACGTGCATCAAGGGCGTTTCGCCGAAGATTCCCAGCACACACAACAGTCCGAAGATCGTAATGAAGATCTCGTTCAAATAGAAGAACCCACGGCTCAAACAGAACGACGCGTAATACGACGGCGTGCACGCGCAGAAAAACAAAATCTCGCGGATCTGCCGCACCTTCCGATCCGTCAACAAGTAGTAAAGCAAATCCGTTTTCCGCTTGCTGATCGGCGATCGCATCTCCTCCAATTCCCTCACAAACCGAATCAAACAAGTGAAAACGAAGGGGAGGATCAGATAATGAACGCGCGAGACGACTCGATCCAGCAAAGACGCTTGTTCTCGGTCACTTCGTCCCGATAAAAGCAGCAAAATCAGCGGGAAATAGAGCAAATAAGGCTCGAAGGAGGGCAGAAGCAGCGCCAACACGACGAGCGAAAGAAACGCAAATACGACGAACGTGTCGTTGATCGTTCTCACTATCGGGAAGAACGTTTTCATTTCTCCAGACGAGAAAACGGAGTTCGTCTATTTGAGAATGGAGAAACGGGGAAACTTTGGGGGAAGAGGGGAAGGAAGAAAGACGGATGTAGAAGAAGAGCGAAAAAACGACTTCCATGAAAATGGTGAGAGACAACGAAGCGAACAGCGTGTACGTTAAGTAATCTATGATGATCAAGCCATTCCGATGTCTACTAATTCCGTTTTTGAGCGGATAGTAGGAGTAAATGGCATAACTCACAATGATGAGCATGGCGGTGAGAATAATCCACATTCCGAACCTTTCATTCATTCCATTCAATAGTTCAATGATACAAAAAAGGAATCGTTTTGCCCACGGTCTGCGTGAGAAGCGACGGCATTCGCAGCGAATATTCGGCGTGTAGAACCAGCAGGCAGTAGACGGTGATGAGTAAACCGACGAGCAAATGCAACACTTGATTGGCTGGATAGTACGAGAACGAAACGAAAATGGAAAGAGAGACTGCGATGGAGAGCACCGTGAATAAATGGATCGCGTAATTCGACGGCAACACGTGAAGAATCAAGCAGCAAATCAGAATGATCGCGATCGACAAAGCGAGGAGCGGATGAATCAGCGGCGATTCGCTCTCACTGAAGTCGAAATCTCTCACGACTGTGGAGAAATCGGGGTTCATTACGAGCAGAATAAACCCGACCACCACGAGAAGGATGTTGATTCTGCGAAGCAACGTCGCTGTTTCGATTGGCGTGTTGACGGTAAACACGGAGAACAGACAGAACAGGCTTGCGATGACGACGAAGAGCGTTAGAAGAATCGCCACGCGCGTGGAAACGTAATTGGAGAAATAGCGAACGAGGCCAGCGAAGGAGAAAACGTCGATGGCGACAACGATCGCGAAGTTCCAAAGAATGTGGATCGGTTCGCGACGATAATGGAAGAACGGACCGAGATACACCACGATTAACAGGCTGATGGAGAGCTCTGCAGAAATGGAGTTTGTGAGAAGGAGACACGCTTTGCTGATCGAAATGGTGAGGAGGAGTCGAACGATCCAAGGAGCCAATCGATTTTCCGAATAGAGTCTACGTCAAAACCCGATCGAATCGAAACTTGAGCGAGACAAAGAAGAGGATGAAGGAAGTGAGAAGAATATAGGAGAAGGAATAAAGCTCGATCGACACTAGAGAGAGAGAGAGCTGTGTTGTTAGAACTACTCTGCCAGAAATCGACGTGTGTGTTGATCAGGCAATATTCGATCACGTGTAAAAGGATTCCAGACACCAAACAAAGCGCGTTCAGCAGTCCTGGGCTTCGCTCATGCAGCAACGCGCCGGGAATCGCGAGCGAAACCGCGAGGAACGTGATGATAAGTAGCATGAGGGTCTGCGAGAAATCTTTGGGAAGCGAGAATCTACGAATTGAATGAGCGAATGAATGAGTGGAAAACTGAATGCTGGTGAATTCGCGTGTTACAACTCGAACGACCAATGCGAATAAACACCCGGCCAACCCGAGATAGAGCTACGTCCCACTCGAAAACCGCGATTACGCTGAGTGATCGCGTGTAATAGAACTGTGCGAAGCACCACGCGCCGACGATGACGATGAGGAAAACGACCCAGGAAGTTTTGGCGAGAAGACAGACGGCTGCCGAGACGACGAGAATGCAGAGGGACGAGATGTGCCGAATGCATTGACTGCGTGAAAGAACGAATTCAATCGGACTTTGTGTAGTTGAGGAAGTGGGAGAGAATGGGGAAGAGCGCGCACAGCGTCGCTGTGAAGAGGAACACGTGGTTTAAGGGGCTGATTGGGACGAGAACAACTTGAACGAGAAGCAGCGTGTAGAGAAAGAGAATGAGGAAGAGCACTTTGAGCACGTTCAGTCGACTCGCTTCGATCTCTATTCATGGCTCGGCTTTCGGATCTCTACGCGCCCAGGAGAAATAACGAAAGGAAAGCAGGCCGAGAAATACGGAGGCGGGCGTTGAGGAAAGCAAAATCAGTTGAAGCGTGAAGGACAAAGGAGCGGATTTGAGTTGAGAGAAGGAGGAAAAGACAAAGAAGGATAACGGAAGAATCGTGGAGAGGAAGAAGTAGAGCCAGACTTCGAACTGAGTGGATTGGGGAGTACTGGTTTTGGAGGGCGGATAGAAAAGGAAGAAAAGAGCGATGAGAACGATTTGGAAGGCGTAAGGCTGGAAGGAAGAGGCATGATAAAGAAGAGCGATGGTTAGGATGAGGATGGAGAGGGTAAGTGGAAAGAGGATGTTTTGGATTCGAACCACGATCTTGGGGTGAGTAAAGAATACATAAAAAGAAACCGCGAGCATTCGCTGAGAGATGATGGACCGAAACTGCAATAACCCGTAAATATCTAAATGAAATTTGTAGTGAATTAGATACAGCAGCAAACAAGAATCTGCATACAGAAGAAATAGTAGGGAATGGTAGCAAGTGTCACTCTACATATTCGGCTGTGAATATTTAAACGAGTAGAATTCGTGAAACTTGAAAAACACATAAAATGTCGAGACAAAGAAGGAACCAGCGAAACAACGAAAAACTCTACGAATCCAAACAATGATTCTCGCATACAGTTTTACTCGTTCTCTAATATCGAATATTGAAGCAGAAAGCATTGTTAATGCAAAAAGACCAATAATGCTGAATATGACTCAAATCACAAAATGCCCACCCTTTTCCACATATACCATAGAGCGAAGTTAGGAAAAAGACAAAGAATAGGGTGTATATCGTTGAGCTCATCCCAGCAATAGGGAGCTTTTCAAATCCCTCTGTCCGAAACCCATAGTCACTGCATGGTGAACCAAAAGAAAATGAGAATACTTCATTGTGTAAACAAAGAATCTAACAAAAGCAAAACCATTATTATGCTCAATATCTCATATATCCATTGCCCATATTACTTCCTGGTGCTTGTTGGGGAGGCGTATATCTCGTCTGTGGAGGCGTATACGATGTTGGCACGGTGGCGTAGGGCTGATAACCATAAGGATTCGAATAAGCAGGTTGCGGCACAGGCGCATTATATGGCTGCGCTACTCTCGAGTACTGCTGCTGCGGCTGCTGCACAGGCACGTATTGAGGCACTGGCTGCGGCGTGTACTGCTGCTGTTGCTGCACAGGCGCGTATTGAGGCGCGGGAACATATTGCGGGACCGGGGAGTACTGGGGCCTGGGAGAATAGCGAGGCACGCTGTACTGCTGCACCGAGGCAGGGACGGGAGGATAGGGCTGGGAATACGTCGGTGCTGGCTGGGGAGTGGAGTAGGCGGGCGCTGGCTGGGGAGTGGAGTAGGGAGCGGTGGGCGGGGGTCCCTGGACGTAGGGCTGAGCGTAGGAAGGAGCCTGCTGGGGATAGGAGCGACGGTACTCCGCTTCCTGGGGAACGGGCTGGTACACGGGCTGGGGAGCACCGCGAATCACCGGCTGGGAAACAGCTTGAGGCGCTGGCTGGGGAACGGACTGGTACACGGGCTGAGGAGTCACGGGAGTCACGGGTTGAGGAGTCACGGGCTGGGGAGCAGGCTGAGATATGGGTTGAGGCACAGGCTGAGGTGCAGGCTGAAGTGCAGGTTGAGGAGCAGGCTGAGGAGCAGGCTGAGATATGGGTTGAGGTGTAGGCTGAGACACGGGCTGGGGAGCAGGTTGAGACACAACTTGAGGCACAGGCTGAGGTGTAGGCTGAGACACAGGTTGAGGTGTAGGCTGAGACACAGGCTGGGGAGCAGGTTGAGATACAACTTGAGGCACAGGCTGAGACACAGGCTGAGACACAGGCTGAGGTGTAGGCTGAGGAGCAGGCTGAGGCACTACTGGAAGCGGTTGCTCGACCTGAGGAACGTTGGCATTGCTGGCAACACTGACAACGCTAGCCACGCTAGCCACACTAGCCAAAGTGTTGACAGGCTGCTCCGGATGGCTCGCAGGATCAGGAACATGAGAGACATTCTGGAATTGGGACACATCAGGCGTTGGAGCAGGAGCAGGAGCAGGAGCAGGAGCAGGAGCTGGGGCTGGCACAGGCGCTGAAACAGGAGCAGGAGCAGGAGCTGGAGCTGGAGCTGGCACAGACGTTGGAGCAGGAGCAGGCACAGACGTTGGAGCAGGAGCAGGCACAGGTGCTGAAACAGGTGCCGGTGCTGGTGCTGGTGCTGGAGCAGGCATAGACGTTGTAGCTGGCACAGGAGCAGGCGTAGGAGCAGGAGCAGGAGCAGGAGCCATAGGTACGCTGGGCAAGGGCAACTCCATCTGTCCCTGGACAGGCTCCTTCACCGGCTCGGGATATCGCATCTCCTGCACAGGCCCGGGATAGGACAATTCGGGCCCAGGCTCCGAGTAGTACATCTCCTGCACGGGCTGCCGCATTGTCTGCGGAGCCGGAGGCAGCTGCTCCATCGCCATCGCCGCCGGCTGCAGCGGCCCGCTCGGCGCGCTCGGCAGCTGGCTGATCGGAATCACACTGGGCTGCGGCTGCGGCTGCGGCGCCATGGGGGCCGGGGCGAGGGGCGCGACGCCGGCAGGATACTGGGGGCGCGCGGGAACCACGTAGGCGCTGTTCCCAGGGAGCGGCTCGTGAATCACCTCGGCGCCCTGCGGCGGGAAGGCGGGCATCGGCGCGCTCTGCACCTGCGACTGCGAGAGATCCACAGGGGCGTAGGCCAGCTGCGCATTGCCAGGGTCCATCGCGGGGAAGCCGGCCATAGACGACGCAGCGAACGGCTGCTGCGGCGGCTCGGCGGGGTTCGCCCAGGCGGCGGGCTGCATGGCGGGAGCGGCGGCGGCGAAGAGGGCGCTGGGGTCGAGATCGAGACTGTCCTGCTGGTAGAAGAGAAGGACGGGCTGGTAGGCGGAGGTGACGCAGTGGTCGATCATGGAGGCGTCGTCGGTGAAGTAGCGGAACTTGGTGTCGTTGCACTCCATCCAGTAGAACTTGCCTTGGTACTCGTAGAGGCAGATCGCGACGTAGTGCTGGCCGTAGTAGAGAACCATGCCAACGAGATGGTACATCATGCCCTGCCGGTCGGAAAGGCCGTCGCGCTTGAGCATTCCCAGGTTCAGCGGCATCACGAGCGACTACAGGATAGAGAACACGCGGGAAAAGAACGTAGAAGAGCGGCCGGAGACGGTCTTTGGGCATGTGATCGGTGGAGTACACGAAGCTCAGCGTAAAGACGGGAGGGAGCGTCTTGAGCGTATCGCTAGGAATGAAGAGAAAGCACAAGCGAGCGACCATTTGCAGAACTGGCCGGGACAGTCCATCGAGAGAAGGCAGCGCGGATAGTCGGTTTTCATGGAGAGCAGGAGCAGCGAGGCCAAGTAGTCTTCTTGGCGGATCTGCGCGGATTTGTAGAAGTCCATTGTGGAGAAAAGCTGCTCCACAATGAGTTGGTAGTAAAAGGCGGTATTCGAAGCACCGCTCTCATCTCCGCAGAAGCTGCAAATACTCTTTTCGAATAATTCAAACGCAAAGATCTATCTAAAATACACACAGTGGACCGTACTTTGTGGCTGATACACTGCGAGGGCTGCATCCCCGCTGTTCCAGAGCAGGAACCGCATAGACGGTGAATAAACTCCAGTATATCTTGCTACCCAGTGAAAAAACGCGTGTACACATACAAATACTTCTGACGAATCTTCCATATCATTCGCTCGTTTGTTGTAGTATGCTGCCAGGGCGGAACGAAGGTCCGCAGCACTCAGCGTTTCGAGCGAACTTTTGCTATCATAATTAATCAACAAATCCTAATTCATATGCAAAATCAATAATGTACCCTCAGTGAACAATAGATGCACGTACATTTCCCCGGTCCATTAACTACAAATGAGGCAGTCCACAAAAGCATACTGCTTTGATGGGGAATATAGGTATGTATGATTGAATCCTTGAAATACTTAATATTCCATAGATTCTATAGATTAGTACATGAAGTCTTATCAACCTGGATAATACTGTTCAAAAAACAAAAGTTAGAGCCAACTAAGTTGGCCAACGGCTGGAATGCAGGCTTACTCATCAAAAATATGGAAAATGGACTATCAAGTACAAAGGCAAAACGGGAAAACGTATATTATTAAGGTGTTTTTCTATGGATATGTGTTAACTTCTGCTTCGTACCATCGGGATGGATGATTTGCAACTATATCCCAGGAGTGATTTCGTTTTTGTTCATTTTTGTAAAAACACCACCTCACCCGTTTTGAACAATATGGTTGTTCTACTGTCTATCTAGTCTCTTCTCACACATAATTTGGAAAGAATTGGCATTTCAGCTAAGAAAACACAAACGTACAAATGAAACTATCCATATTATTTTGACAAAGTGTGACAAATCATTCAATGCCTATCCTAGCAGATTATTTTATGAGTGTAACAGTTCCTCCGACAGGTAGAAACTCTGTTACGAGCCTGATGTCCAGAGGAAAATATTGGGCGATCAAATCCTCCGATCGTCGTAGTTGATAGATATCCTGTAGAGGATCATGCAAAACACCGATTTCCAGAGAATTCGCAATACGTCGTGGATGTTATTGTTTTGCTATCTAGTGCTGTATTCCAGGAGGAGTAAAAATCAAGTATGTTCGCAGGGAACAGCGTCGGCCTTATCTGTTTACCTTTTGTTTCACTTTAGAGTTACCGCCAGTTTCCAATCTAACTTCTAGTGATCGTTCGCGTAGTTATGGAACATCCCTTTTCTACTACGAAAAGATGAGTAGGTTTGTGTTCATCGTGTTCATCAACAGAGATAGATGGAGAGTGCAAGAAAGACAAGAAAGGGAGACAGCTTTATGTGCCCCGCGCCTTATGTATTTTATCCCATCAACCCTTTTTTACTGCCTTCAACGTTTTTCTTCGGGAATTATATCGAAATGCCATCCTCGATTCAGAAGACCAATTTGCAGACGAAAACGATTCGATTCCGCGAGTTGAATCCTTTGAAGCATTGTTGCGAAAGGGTTTGCCTTTTCTCCATTTCGTGTTTCGTAGGTTCCCTTTACGACACCCTTCTTGACGACAGCATGGCACTCCTTCCCCGTGCGACCCATTTACGCCAATAACTCCTAGTGGAAAAACACATTCAGCATTTCATCGACTTTTGTCCCTCTCTGGATCCAGGCTTTTTGATTCACGTAGACGCTTCTCTCCCTGAAACAACCATAGCTCCCGGTGTTTCAGAAGATTTATACGATTCGAATTCCTCCTCTGACGCGCCTCCCCTACACCGACAAGCTGTGTTTCAAGTGTCTTTTCACTTCTCTTTCTCCCAAAAACATCGTGAAAGTCTACGCAGCGATCCTCCAGGAGCAGCGCGTCCTCTTCGTTTCCGAGCAGATGGACTCCTTAACCCTCTGCGCTCAAGCGTTCAATAGTTTGCTCTATCCTTTCCGCTGGTTCCATCCGTTCATTCCCATTCTTCCCTTCGCTGTAACCGAAACGATCTCTGTATCTCCGCTCTTTCTTTGCTTATTGCTCTCGTAGGCGTCGTTTCCTTACATTTTCGGAGTCACGACCAATCAGTTCGAGACGGAAGATTGCCAGAACAATCTGGACGGCGTGATTGTCGTGTATCTGGACTACGATAAAGTGGTGGTTCCCAAATCGTGCCATCTTGTGGAATTCCGAAAAAGCTTCGTCAAGAAAGTAGTGACTCAGATGGAGAAGTACTTGCCTCCTCCAGAAAGCAATTCTTGGATGTTTGTTTGATGGATAGCACGTGTTCTTTATTGTGACAACACCAACATTAACGAATCCGAGTTCCTTGTCTTTGAGATCGTGTTCGGCCCGGGGAAAATGGGCGTTCGGCTCAAGTCCAAGCAGGCCGTTCTCTTCGAAGACAAAGATCCCGTCGATTGCGTTTACATCCTTCGAGACGATGACGACATCACCATTTCCGGGCCGGGAAAACGCGTCAAACTCCTTCTGCGAAGCCCGGTGATTTTGTCTGTGAACGGTGCGCGCAGCCCCAGCGACTGATCGATAGGCGAATGCATGATCGGCAAGGACGTCAAGGAAGTGAAGCATTACATCATGGAGGGGCGCCGTCCCATGCTGATTCGCTGCCAAATCGGCGTGGCTCCCGCGGGAATGCAGTCGCTCTCGTCTCCTTCATCGCGCTCTCTTTTATCGCCAGGATCCTCGATTAATTACAGTTATTCGACGCGCGATTCGTCGAGTTCGATCACCGACGAGGAAGCGTTGAGTCTTTCTGCGAAGATTCCTGCGGGTTCCTCGCCTCGCAATTCGGAAGAACTCTCGATTTGCATTCCGGAGAACGACTCCGGTATAGCAACGAGCGTTTCTCCGATGCAGCACACGCCGCCAAGCGACAGCGAGTCGAAGCAGGTGCATCGATTCTATCGGTTTGTGTCTCCGCGGTCGGAAGAGAATGAATCGGAGACGCTGGGAAGGGATCTGAGCGTCTCGGAGGTGGGAATGGAGAAGGGTGGCGAGGCGTAGGAAGACGAATTCATCGAGTCGCTTCGTGTGACGTTTATGCTGGAGCTGTGTCGCTTGATCGGGCATTATCGCGATTGTTTCAGTGGGGATGAGGAGGAGGAGGAGGAGTGAAGCGTAGACAGCGACGTTGAAGAAAACGCGACATTCGAAATGATTCTGAACCGAAAGAAGTTTATTCGCGAGGTGGAGGAAGAGGACACGAAGCTCGTGAAGGCGATTTCGAAGTCGCAGCTGTTCCACCACTTCGTGGAGGACGCGTTCGAGTACGAAGACAATTACGAGATTAATCTGTTCAACGATTGCATCAAGCTGCGACAGAGAATGGGGCATTACGCGGAAGAGTACATCCGCGAGCGGTTGAATCCGAAGAATTGGGAGCTGCAGACGGTGAACGTGGAGACGCCGAACGCAGCTCATCTGCCGGAGAATTGGGAGACGGAGTCAATGTTGCGCGCTCCGGACCGATTCCCCAAACTGGAAAAGCAGTTCTTCGGGAAGCGAAGTCCTCGCATGATTCCAACAAAGATCGCGCAGAGCAAGTCGATCGTTCCGGAAGATATAGATGCCTTGCTTAAGAAACTGAAAAAGCAGAAGAAAGAATGGGATGTTTGATACAAACATGCAAATGAAGGCAACTTAACATGTGTGAGAGTTGATCAAATCGTCAATATGTGTGTGAGTGTGCGTGTTTACGTATTTTCTCCGGGATTGTCTCCTCTCTGCCTGATGGAACACAGAGATTCCAGTAATTTGTGTATATCGTGCGTATTCAAATACTCCAAAATCTACGAATCAAACTCTTCGCCCGAGCCCACAGCGCTGATTCCTTCTTCATCTCCCTTCTCCAACAACTCCTCCGCCACTCTCCGCATTCCCAAATCCTTTTTCCCAATCTCCTCCAAAACCCGATCAATGTCTTCTTCGGAAATCTTCCACGGCTCGACCTCCGCTTCTCCTCCCTCAAGCAGCAGATCCTCGTCCTCTCCCTCTTCTCGCCTGCCTCCTAAAGTACACAGCACGATCAGCGCTCCCAGCAGTCCCTCAAAGTCCTGCGATCGCAGATATTCTCCGTAGAGTTCCACCAGCACTGGACTCGATTCCTGCAGCAATTCGAACAAAATCTCGCTCTGCGCGACAGAGACTACGCCGCTCTCCACCATTTCTCGGAACAGCGTCTCGAAGAACGACTTGGCTTCGTCTCGCAGCTGATAACTCTCCACCATCTGCTTCAGCCTGCGAAGCATCGACGCCAATCCCTCGACGTTCTTGCTCTCCACACACACATCGAACGAATTCACCACCACTTCGTTCCCGCCGCAGTACTCGTCCACCACCCAGCGCAGCTCCGCTTCCGACAGCGCTTCCGTGCGCTGGAGCTCCTCCAGAATCGCTGCGTGCTGCGGATTGCTGACCTGCGCCAACGGCGATCGCAGCGCCTCCAGAACGCGCAGATACAGCTGCAGATTCTTCCGCAGCGTCGCTAAATCGTGGTCCTTCACGAACTCGTCGTAGCAGTGCCGAACCACCGCGGAGCGGTCCATGCTTCGCCGATACAGCACGGCGTACTCCGTCTTCGAGAGCGACCCCTCGCGCTCCAGCTTCAGCAGCTGCTCGGTGATCTGCCCGGTGGGGTAATCCGCCGGCAGCGCGTCCGTGAGACGGTGGTCGGTGCGGGACGAGCGATGCTCGCACTGCTGCAGGAAGGGCTGATAGAGCGAGGGGTCGAGGAGCGGCGCACCGACCACATCGGTGAGCCTCGCAAAGCGCTGGAGTTGGGACGGCTCCTCGCTGAGGAAGCGCACCAACGAGGAGGTTTGCGCCTCGCTGAGGATGTGCAGCTCGAAGAGCGTGTAGAGAAGCACTTCGGCGCGGCTCAGCTGCTCCAGAACCACGGAAATGTCGAACGTCTCGGTCGTGGAGCGCCAGGAGCCACGGTTGCGGACTTGCTGGGAATGGGCGGAGAGACGGACTTGCGGACTGATGATGTCGGGCTTGATGGTGAGCAGGAGAACGCGCAGAAGAGAATCTTTGAGAGCGCCTAGATCGTCGTTTCGCTCAAAAGCCATGTAGGCGGAGCAGACCAAGCCGTCCTCGTTTTGAATGAGGGAAAGAAGGACGGCTGCGTGCTCGTAGGTGATTTCCTTGTTGATTTGCATGTTGTACACGATGAGACGCAGAATGTCCATTTTCACGGTGGTAGACTCTTTCACCTGAGAAACCAACGTGTGAAGGTGTTGATTTAGCGCTGGAATATCATTGTCCATGAGGAGATTGCTTGCGGCAGCCAAGCTGGAGGATTTGCGATTATATAGAACACGTAGAGTAAAATAGTCAAAGTAACGAAACTCGCCACCTTGCCTGCATTGGTGGAATACGTGCTGAAAGAGATTCTCCTAGATGGTAAGATACTAGCGACAAGCATACCACAGCCGTAGCACGTTTCTTCATGGAGGAAGGAGATAATGCTACACTGGATACCAAAATTAACCAATACGATCGACTACAATCAGTGCTTCCGAGTTAGCAAACGATTCAGGGCGAGATAACACTTCAGCAAAGGAGTAGAACCTTCCTGATCCCAAATCCTTGACGCCAGCGATCTCAGTATTTGGAGGTAAAGAAAAAGCCACGCTTAGTTCCTGCTGGAGAGCACTCTCAGATTCCGTTCCACACAAAACTATTCTTTTTTTCTTCTGGCCATACGAAAATGTTACTTCGCTCATTTCCGAATAGCTTGTTTGAATAAAGCTCTTAGGACGCGAACTTAACGTTCCCAACAGATCACAAAATAGATGCGGAATTCCCAAATTCCGTGGCTTATTTTTTAAATTGAATTTTAAATCATTTTTCTTTCCTGTATCAAGAGGCGAACACGTCCATAGTACAATGGGTGATGAAGGGATGAGGATTCGAAGGTTAAGAGTTGAGCAAAAAAGAAAAAGGAATAGAAAAGGAAACTCCGAAGCGGGGAATCGAACCCCGGTCGTCCGCGTGACAGGCGGAAATACTAAACCACTATACTACTTCGGATCTGTTTGTGAATTCCAGAAGTACTATATATCGATAATATCACATTGTTGGAAAAGCGATCGATAGAAATATTTAGAAAGTGCACTGAAGTATGAAATATACTTGCTTATCAGCAAATCAAATTGGTGATTGTTTTGCACTTCTAAATTCAAGTACCGTGCTATATAGTTTTTATAATGATCGCGAGGAGTACAGGCAACAGAAGGCGTTGGATAAGAATAATTTGAACGTCACAACGATACTTGTGGATCCTTTTGGCAAATATGTTTTGTTATATGGCAAAGATGCTGTCTATATATTTTGGTTACATCGAAAATCGGCGGGATACCCTTGCCTCTTTTACAAGGCTATAATCGCTGTTGAGTGAGTTTTTTTATATATCTCGTTCACACGTAGGGACGTAGAGCTATCGTGTAGCAAAGCATCGATAGTTGAAGTAATATGTCATCCTCGCCTGAGTGGCGTTTTTGTGGTTCTTTACAGTGATTGCACGTTGGACGTGTTTAACACCTCCGAAAAAGCACATCTATTATACACAACGTCCGTGAAGTTGGACAATCATCCCCACGTCACTCCTTTGTGTTGTAATTTTGGCTCATCCTCTGGAAGCGATCAGTTTTCTCTGTACGTAGTCTATTCAACGGGAGAAATCGCTCTTCAGAAGATTATTCATCTTCCTCGCTACTTTTTGACACGAGAGAACATGAAAACGCTGTATAAACGCGATCCCTCGTTATTCTCGTGGTTTTGTACGTGGAGAAAGATCGACGAAGGCTTCTACGAATACGCAATCCCGGAAGGTTTTGAGCCCCAAAGAGACATGACTCTTATTTACACTCCATCAAAGCCCCTTCCCCTCACTGCCGCTGCACTCAGTTTGTACGCTTCTTCTTGTTCTTACTTTTAATCTCACTAGACAACCGATCGACGAGAACTCGGTGGCTGTGTTCCTCCTCTCGAACAACTTCAAGATCTCCGTGTTTTTGCACGTTCTCGACGAGCCTCTCTCTCCATCCGTTCCTTTCACCTCGCTTTTCTAATCGCTAGACGCTTATCCCCGTCTCTTCTTTTTCCTTCTCCCACTTCCGCCCTTCCTTTATCTTCCCCGATATCTTCCCCTTCTCTTTCTTCATGATCGGCTCCTCCACTCTGTTTCCCCTTTTCCCCATTTTACATCCAGCTATTACGTCGAGTTCCCCTGGATGGCTCACCTTTTATCCGATCCCACCATCGAAAACCCGATCATTTCCCAGCTCTCCGAGTTCCCTTCCGCTCCTCTCGGCATTTCCGTGCCCTTCCTTCTATTCTCTCTCACGCTCAGTCCATCAACACCGCCTTTCTCTCCCATGTCGTTCTCGCTCTCCATTCTCCCGACCTCATCCAGCAAATCCCCGTCGATCGTGGCAGCGAGCCCTTCCCCTTCCTCCCCGTCTCTCTTCCTCCTACCTCCATTCTCTGCACTGTACTCACATGCACATCTATTCAATCTCAGGACGCGCTTCTCGACATGGCGAAGACGCTCCAAGGCTTCCGCAAGACCCGCTTCTTTACCCAGTATGTCGAACTGCTCAATTCGATGGAGCTGCAAGACGAAGAGGTCGAGACCGCGATGTTCGCTTCGGTCGTGCAGCGCTCTGTGGTTCCTTATATGAATCTGTTGCTGCGAATCAAGCAGGAAATCAACAAAGCGGGAGAGGAAATGCAGACTACGTTTGCCTTCGTGGAGAAGCAGGCCGAGGCGATTCAGGCCCAATTGGAGGCGATAACCGCGGGACATGATGAGCTGAGCAAGCTGTAAAACCCCGATCAGTTGGATGAGGAGTAGACAGGCGAAGTGCCGAAAACAGCAGAAAAAGCTTCAGATTTTGTATGTGAAGTTAATAAAAGTGGGTATAATTGGTGCGAATAAGAAGTAGAATCTGAACCTGAGTATCGAGATCGGAAATGAGTGGGAAAAGGCGGGAAAAGTCACGTGTAGAGAAGAAATTCGAGAGTTGGGATCGAAAATCGGGCAGGTTTTGGAGATGACGGAGAATCTGCGAGAGTATATGGAGTATTATAGTATTGTGGATGAGATGGACATGCGAAGGATCCTCGGAGGGAAGCCGAAGAGCAACACGTTGGATGAGTTGAAGAAGATGAAGGAGATTAATGTGCTGGTGAAAGATATTCCTTCGAAGTTGCAGAAGGCTGAGGAATTGATGGATGAAGTGGAGCACAAAGCGGTGATCGAGAAATTTAGACAGGAACTAAATGGTAGTAATTGATATTTGTTTGTTCCCCAAAAACAGAGTTGGCTTTTATGGACGAGGGTGATCGGCTTCCATCACCTGCACGGCTCTCACATCGTTCATTGCTAACAAACACACGTGTGTTCCTATTTTTCGTTTTGACTCTCTAGCGGGTCCAAGAAGGATCACTCAATCCGAAGCAGAGCAGGATTTGAAAAATATGACAAGACAAAGCCTGGATGTGCGTAGAAAATCGACTCCTCCTTCCAGAAGGACCACCGTTCAGCCCCAGGAAAATATGAAAGCATTTATATCAAAAAAGCGTCCATTTCCAGAAACAAACAAAAGTGGCGCGAACCAAGAATATAAAATTCAACGTAGGGTTCGAAAATAGGGTTAACATGAAGATGGAGAAGAAAATGAGGACTTGAGGAAAAATGGTCCGAGTAGCAATTCTTCGACATTTGAAATAATTTATGTACAAATAATGCACTGGGATGAGGGGTAGATAAAAGACAAGAGGTACATTGTACTCGACATCGTTGGGAGTGGCAGTAGTTGCAAGGTATACAAGGTCGTTACCGAAGATAATGACGTATTTGTACTATTCCTGATCGACACTAGGTTTTGGCTTTGAAGCAAGTCGATTTAAGCAGTCTAGCCAAGTCTGTAGCGGATGACTATATCAACGAAGTGCACCTACTGCAGAAACTCCACGGTTCTCCAGGAATCATAAAGTTAGTCGATTACGAGCTAAACCAGCACCAGCAACGTCTCAACATCGTACGAGCTCACTCCATCTATATAATTCTAGCTCTTGGAATACGGAGAGACCGACCTGAAATCGTTCCTATTGGAGAAACAGACATCTCTCGATATGAATCGAATTCGTCTACTCTGGCAACAAATGCTAACCTCTGTAAACTCCATCCGCGAGCTCGGAATCGTCCACTCCGACTTAAAACCAGCGAATTTTCTGTTCGTGCAAGGCGAACTGAAGCTCATCGACTTTGGAATTGCGCGCGCGATCGCTCCCGAATCGACGAGCATCATTCGAGACACCCAGATGGGGACGTGGAACTATATTTCGCCGGAAGCGTTGATGGAGACGGGGGATGGGAAGGGGGGTCGCGGAATTCGCGTAGAACTGAGCGGAGAAATCGAGCTTAGATCGGATGTTCGTGCGACGTGTGGTCGCTTGGATGCATTCTCTATCAAATGGTATACGGGAAATCGCCGTTCCAAGACATCCAAATGCCGCAGAAGCTGCTCTCCATCGCGAACGACGAGTATAAAATTGATTTTCCCAAGATCGAGTTCGCCTTTTGCTTTTATTTCCATTCAGCAATCCCTGGCTTCTCGACGTTCTCAAGCTCTGTCTCCAGCGAAACCCGAAGAAGCGACCGACCATCAGCAGTCTTCTGCAGCACCCGTTTCTGCAGCCACAGGGCGAGCAAGCGATGCAGGTGTTCCAAGCGGCTGCGTTGGGGAACGACAACATGCAGGACGTCGTACGGCAAATTTTGCAGACGACGGAGGATCCTATGTGGGAGGAAGAGGGGTTCGTCGAGGCGGTTTGCCACGAATTGGCGAAGCAGTGTGTGGAAAGCTCGCGCGTTAGCTTTCTGGAAGCACTGGATCGAGTGAAAGAAAAGACAAGAACGCATTGATATCGATTGTTTGAGACAAACAGAACACTCCTCCACTTGCTCGTTTCCTTCCTCGCCCTCCTCTTCCTCGTCTTCCTCCTCCTCCTCGTCTTCTTCTTCTTTAATGAGAATGTGGTCATCTAGTTTTGAATTCATTAGATTCGCGTACCATCTGCTTCGTCTTCTTTATCCGCCTTATCGAGAACTATTCATCAGCAAGCTGTTAGGCACCTACTTGCATCTTCATTCTCCAAAATCGACTTTCCATTCCGCTCGAAGAGCTCTTTGCCGGTGAGTTTGTCCCTCACAACCACTTCGTTCACATGCATCTCTGCGTCAAACTTCTTTTTCCACTCATTGAAAGTCTCCACAGTCACAGGAGTTCCTATCAAATCAAGAGAATCTCACGCATTCACCCCAATTCTTTGGATGCTCATGGAGTTCTTGAATGATCTCTGCCTTTTCTTTCTAAGGAATGACAATAGAAGATGAAAAAACACACCTTTTCGCGCTCGGCCTCTTCGGCTTCCTTCGCCTTTTGCTGGCGTTTCATCATCTCATCGTACATGGATCCTTCCTAAGGCTTAAATAAAAGAATAAAGAATACTTCAACTTTGGGGACATTTCTGTCTATGAGCCAGTCCTTGACAATTTCAGTAATGTTGTAAATCATTGCCATTCCCACAAACTCTGGAGCTCTGTCCTAAGCAGTAAATAGAAATAACAAGCCATGCATAAATCATTTGAGTGAGATCAATAAGGTCATCTTCGAGAATGTTTTCCCCATCAACAAACCGAATATTAGGAACTTCATCTGGATACTGGGGTGGATAGCGAACAATCATCGAAACGGAAACTAATTGGAATCACATAAAATAAACGAAGAACCATAGTTTTCGCCTCCCAAGGTAGGAAAAAGTCTTATTTTATAAGTAATCGGATTCTGTGAAAGAGCTATTGTAAAGACGATGCAAAAGAAGGGTACATTCAAAGTCGTCCATAAACACAGCTTGCATAGCTTCAACTTCCATCTCTTGCTCTTCTAAATGATCTACGTATAGGGTGAAAGGAAAAATTAAAATACCAGACATTTTGAAACAAGGCTATGAACTAAAATGATGATCTTAAGGTTCAATGGCTTTTTTGTAACAAAAGAATATGTAACAAAGGCATTACAAGTGAAAGTATGAATGGGCGTTGCAGCAAATGAAGGAACTAATACCAAAGTTTTCTTCAATAAATAAGACATTTGTAATATTAAAGGTATACCTAACCCAGAAAACCTTTGCTAGAGTGTGATTCACATCTACAGCAATTACACTTAACAACGCCAATTCCTTTAAAAGAAATAATGCTAGTTATCAATATACCTGAATAACATAATAGAAAGACAATAACAATATTTCTGGGTGGATTACTGAAGTGCGTACAATAATAAACAGAAAAGCGTACAATCATGTATTGTAAATAGTTTAAAAACACATGGTAATGCTAAATAGCAACATTATTAGCCACTTTGAGTTATGCAATTCACATACCATCTTATATATACTCATTCATAACTTTCATTATCAAAAGCAAATAAACCATTAAAAAAAGATATTAATTATTGTGCAGTCCTGCTAAATCTATGGAAGTGGATACTCGAAACATCAACAATGATCATTCGGTCTAGAATACAATACAAAGTACACAATATTGAACCCTAATACTAAGGATCTATATAGTGTAAACATAGTTCAGTAAATAGTAAAACAAAGTGATTATTCAAAATCCATGTTCTTGATTTACACTGAATTGCAATAGTTGCACATAACCAATATTTGTGTGCTTAAAATGATTCTGGGCAAATTGTGTTACAAATATCCAATCATTCTATTTATAATCCACAAAACCAAAGTTATCAAATGTATTTAAAAGGCAAATACTGTCTTTCTATTCTTATCAGTATTATTGACTATGCATAATATATTGCATCATAACGCTATTCATCATTCACTCACACCCCATTTCAATTACACTCAATTCTTTTCATTTCTATTCTTCTATTATCAACAAATCAATTCACTGAGTGAATGAGTGAGTGAATGAGTGAGTGAATGAGTGAGTGAATGAGTGAATGAGTGAATGAGTGAGTGAATGAATGAATGAATGAGTGAGTGAATGAATGAGTGAATGAGTGAATGAGTGAATGGTTTGGTTTAATAATAAAAATAATAATAGTAAGAATGGATAAATAATTGTGTGGAATAAAATAAAATAGTAAAAGAACAGCATCGAGACTTCTCAGCGAGTCACCCACACTGGTACTAACTCGACTCGTGATGACTTAGCTTCCTAGATCGGACGGGTTAGGGCGCTTTCCATCAGATATGGCCGTTCTCATTTTTTTATTATTCAATTGCCTATTTAAACATCACATTCTTATCATCATTCACTCACACCCCATTTCAATTACACTCAATTCTTTTCATTTCTATTCTTCTATTATCAACAAATCAATTCACTGAGTGAATGAGTGAGTGAGTGAATGAGTGAGTGAATGAGTGAGTGAATGAGTGAGTGAGTGAGTGAATGAATGAATGAGTGAATGAATGAGTGAATGAATGAATGAGTGAATGAGTGAATGGTTTGGTTTAATAATAAAAATAATAATAGTAAGAATGGATAAATAATTGTGTGGAATAAAATAAAATAGTAAAAGAACAGCATCGAGACTTCTCAGCGAGTCACCCACACTGGTACTAACTCGACTCGTGATGACTTAGCTTCCTAGATCGGACGGGTTAGGGCGCTTTCCATCAGATATGGCCGTTCTCATTTTTTTATTATTCAATTGCCTATTTAAACATCACATTCTTATCATCATTCACTCACACCCCATTTCAATTACACTCAATTCTTTTCATTTCTATTCTTCTATTATCAACAAATCAATTCACTGAGTGAATGAGTGAGTGAGTGAATGAGTGAGTGAATGAGTGAGTGAATGAGTGAGTGAATGAATGAATGAATGAGTGAGTGAATGAATGAGTGAATGAGTGAATGAGTGAATGGTTTGGTTTAATAATAAAAATAATAATAGTAAGAATGGATAAATAATTGTGTGGAATAAAATAAAATAGTAAAAGAACAGCATCGAGACTTCTCAGCGAGTCACCCACACTGGTACTAACTCGACTCGTGATGACTTAGCTTCCTAGATCGGACGGGTTAGGGCGCTTTCCATCAGATATGGCCGTTCTCATTTTATTATTATTCAATTGCCTATTTAAACATCACATTCTTATCATCATTCACTCACACCCCATTTCAATTACACTCAATTCTTTTCATTTCTATTCTTCTATTATCAACAAATCAATTCACTGAGTGAATGAGTGAGTGAGTGAATGAGTGAGTGAATGAGTGAGTGAATGAGTGAGTGAATGAATGAATGAATGAGTGAGTGAATGAATGAGTGAATGAGTGAATGAGTGAATGGTTTGGTTTAATAATAAAAATAATAATAGTAAGAATGGATAAATAATTGTGTGGAATAAAATAAAATAGTAAAAGAACAGCATCGAGACTTCTCAGCGAGTCACCCACACTGGTACTAACTCGACTCGTGATGACTTAGCTTCCTAGATCGGACGGGTTAGGGCGCTTTCCATCAGATATGGCCGTTCTCATTTTATTATTATTCAATTGCCTATTTAAACATCACATTCTTATCATCATTCACTCACACCCCATTTCAATTACACTCAATTCTTTTCATTTCTATTCTTCTATTATCAACAAATCAATTCACTGAGTGAATGAGTGAGTGAGTGAATGAGTGAGTGAATGAGTGAGTGAATGAGTGAGTGAATGAATGAATGAATGAGTGAGTGAATGAATGAGTGAATGAGTGAATGAGTGAATGGTTTGGTTTAATAATAAAAATAATAATAGTAAGAATGGATAAATAATTGTGTGGAATAAAATAAAATAGTAAAAGAACAGCATCGAGACTTCTCAGCGAGTCACCCACACTGGTACTAACTCGACTCGTGATGACTTAGCTTCCTAGATCGGACGGGTTAGGGCGCTTTCCATCAGATATGGCCGTTCTCATTTTTTTATTATTCAATTGCCTATTTAAACATCACATTCTTATCATCATTCACTCACACCCCATTTCAATTACACTCAATTCTTTTCATTTCTATTCTTCTATTATCAACAAATCAATTCACTGAGTGAATGAGTGAGTGAGTGAATGAGTGAGTGAATGAGTGAGTGAATGAGTGAGTGAATGAATGAATGAATGAGTGAGTGAATGAATGAGTGAATGAGTGAATGAGTGAATGGTTTGGTTTAATAATAAAAATAATAATAGTAAGAATGGATAAATAATTGTGTGGAATAAAATAAAATAGTAAAAGAACAGCATCGAGACTTCTCAGCGAGTCACCCACACTGGTACTAACTCGACTCGTGATGACTTAGCTTCCTAGATCGGACGGGTTAGGGCGCTTTCCATCAGATATGGCCGTTCTCATTTTATTATTATTCAATTGCCTATTTAAACATCACATTCTTATCATCATTCACTCACACCCCATTTCAATTACACTCAATTCTTTTCATTTCTATTCTTCTATTATCAACAAATCAATTCACTGAGTGAGTGAATGAGTGAATGAGTGAATGAATGAATGAGTGAATGAATGAGTGAGTGAATGAATGAGTGAATGAGTGAGTGAGTGAATGAATGAGTGAGTGAATGAGTGAATGAGTGAATGAGTGAGTGAGTGAGTGAGTGAATGAGTGAGTGAGTGCTTCTTTTTTATGGAAGAAGATTACTGTTTTTTATATATGAAATTTGCAATTACGATTGATATTACTGTTAACTGCAGCATTTAGGTATCAAACACATCCGATTTGATTCCATTATTATCATTTTGATAAATCCATGTTTTTGTGATATATTGATGAACAAACAAACAAATGATAGTTGGATTGATTGTATGGTGAATCCAATATGATTTCCAATGCTATTCAATCGTATTTTATTCTATTTTATTCAATTTTAGTTTCATTGCCTTGTTTTATCCATTTCACCTCTATTTGATTCTGATCTATTCTATTCTATGTATACAGTGATCGATTCCTATTCAATAAATCAATATCAATCATTCTATTGTATTGTATTGTATTGTATTATCTACCGATTTAGCAATGGATTCACAAATGTGAATAATCATCCAATATCAATCGATTCCAACCATTCCATTGTGTCACTATCAAATCTAATCTTATTATTCATGATGATTATTATTATTATGATTATTCGAAGCAAGCAGTTTCCTATCATTATTGAACAAATTCTAGTTCAAACCTATTCAAACCATCATTTGTATATTATTATTATTATTATTGGTAGATTGGATTCATCATTTGTGAATGTTCAATATGTGATCATTGGGTCATTGGTAATAATAATGATAATGATAATAATGATCGAAAACAATGACTGATTGATAGATTGATTGAAACAACAATCATAATTCAGTATCATTGTTAAAATGGTAAAGAAGAACATCATAATAATCAGGCAGGATTGATATTTTGATAATTATAGAATCAAGAATTGTGATCAAAAATCGATTTGAAACAAACAAGCAATCAATCAATCTAACAATGGAAATGTTCCTAAACAATGACGAATCACTGAACAAATCAAATCAAAATTATAGATTTAATGCTTGATTTTGACAAGATCAGCGAGAATAAAAGAAACATCTATGAATCATATCAAATTAATCAAACTATACTCGAAATTGATTTCGATCGAACATATCGGAATGAATTAGGTAGATTGACATTTTGAAGATTTGGAATATCTAAATACTATCAATATTTAATATTCAGAAATACTTTTCAATGTCACTACACGAGGATTATAGAAACTAATTCCGACAGATGTTATTGATGTTAGATCTGGAAGATCTACAAAACAAATCATAACCAATCATTTCATTATTACTTCGAAGTGTCAATGAATTTGAATCATCCCAACTTCCAGCAAATGCAAAATTACCGAGTTGAATGGATTGTAATGATGGAAGATCTACATTAATCATTTCATTCGAGTTCATTCAATACTTTCAATTATTGTTGATAAGGGATAACGGAATGCATAATCACCTAATGTAATGGATTGTAGATTTGGAAGATCTATACATCATTCAAATATTCAATATCATATCAATACCTCGAATCACAAATGAACTATAATAGAAATTGGATGACCAATTTCCAATTGTACCAATTTGAATGGATTGTAATTGTGGCAGATTCTTCAGTTCAAAGTCTCCAGCAAAATCACTGAAACTATATTCACCAATTTGAATGGATTCCAATGATTCACAATTCAATATGTGGAATGATTTCGATTTGTTGTCCGCCTTCTTGTAGTCCCACTTGTCAGTGTTTTTCACTTGAGTAAATGAATTGATTCCGATTTTGATCGTTTTCAATCGATTCAATCCATCGATTTTGAATGTTTGCACTGATTCAAAACAATCATTGCCTATTTCGATTGATTCCAAATTATACAACAATGAAACATCCCAATCAACCAATACACAATAGTCAATCAGTTTCAAATGTTTCATTCCGATATTCAGTGGCTTGCTTCCATCTCCTTCATATTTATCTATATCGCATTCAATTCCATTATACCATTCACATTCTTTCACTAATTTCCCATACCGATCATACACTTTTCCTCTTCCAAATCGATTATCATCACACCAATATCCTTCATATTCAATACATCCATTATTATGATAACTCGTTCCATATCCAAATCGTTTCCAATTGATCATTATGCCCTTGTACACCAAGAATCCGTCATCATCATACATTTCACCATATCCAAATGGAATTCCAAACTTGTTTTCTGTCAATATCAATCCTTCAAATCGACTTCCATGTTCCAAATCCACGATTCCTTTTACTACTTCTATGGATTGTTCTTCATTATATGAAATAGCACCAATTTGATGATTTCCAAACACTTTCAACACTTTCTGCTCATTGAGTACAAATCCTTGATTCATGAATATTCCATTATCAAATTTCAATACTACACATTCTCTATTACTCAAAATGAGTGAAATCCAGCCATTTGGTTTCATTTCTTTACCCAAGCATCCCTGTACATTTTGAATAATGGAAATATCAATATGATAGTTACTAATAGCAGAATTGACAAAATCAGCAATGTTTTGCATGGAAATGAAAAGAAATATGGTAAAACGGTTTTTTCAATTATCTCTATCATTATTTCTCGATTGAACACGTCATAGATTATTTGGCATGTCTTTGATATACTGGTGTGTTACAAACTAGAATACATATAATATAATCTCATTTTCTCCACCCATTTCTATTTTTCTTTATTTCGGTGCATTTCTATCTATTCATTTATTTTTTTGTTATTTTTAGATACTTATAGCTATAATTGTAAATTATTACGCATTTTCATCACCTTTACCCTCTCATGTCAGAATGGCTGTTCTATTAAGTCTATAATGGATGTATGTTCTTCAAAATATATCAATTATGTGGTAGTTAATCTTGTTTTGGAACAATCGAACTCACAATAGTGAATACTGTTGGAATGGTTTGATTCGTAATAGAGAGTATGGCAGTAGTATGTAGAATGCAAAATCCATCATTTCTATTTGACAAGTGGTATATTGTATTGATTCTCTGTTGATACTTCGATTCTCTTCTGTCACAATGACCATCCATATTGAGTACAAAGAATGATATTGCAGAGAAAGGAATGTGGTTCATAGATTGAAATGGTGAATAGGAATCATAGTATCATTAAACAAAACAATCGATTGAATAATATGATAATGGATGGAATCCATGAATCCTATGAATGAAAACCTTGCTTTCTATTTGATCAACAAACAATGTGAAATGCAATGTGATTACCATAGCAATAGTATTAAATAAACAAGTAATATTGAGTGAATGAATGAATGAATATGCCATCCATCATAGAGATCTCTTCCACTCACTTCCACTCCATCTTTCCATTCCACTTCGCTTCACTGAGATTTCCTTGTGAGTCCATGTCTTGATCTGGATTGCATCGATGTCGCTGCCCGCCATTGGATTTTCTTTTCGAGAACGAAGAGACTAGAACAGAAATACGAGTGGACGAGCGAGTACTTTGTTTGGAAGATCGAGATACGCTTCGCCGACAGTATCTTCGTGCAGATTGCCGAAGTAGATATCGTGAGTCATGTTCATTCGCGTCTTCTTCTTCTATCCATTCATCGCTCTCCGCATCGTTACCTCGATTATCTCACTGATATACTGATCGGTGAGGTTCCACGACGTTCGATACACGCGATCCACCAAATGATTCGCAGCATTTAATTCGATATTGATAAAGTAAAGTATGTCGTGGTAGAAATAGCGTTTCGCCAGTGTCTTGCTGTCCATCAATCCTTCCAATCCGCCCAGCACGATCTTATCCAGCTCCATAATCTGTTTATTCGTTGAATCATAGATCAGCACTAAATTCTTCTTGTTTCGCATCAATGCTACATCTCAGATTCTCTTTCCTCTCAATACTCGTCGAAGATGTCGTTGAAGTCCAGATTTTTCCACACCCCCGCATCCTTCAGTCAGTTGTACGAAACTTGGGAACTCTGCATTAAACACACCTGTTCCGGAGTTAGATTGCTAGAAACCAACACAGGGTAGTTGTTTCGTATTCTATACCTACAAATAACCACGATTTGTGGAATTTACATTTCTGGATATATTTCTGAAGCAAATACTCCTCGAATTGCTGTATGATAGACAGATAATCCTTATCGTCTGGCAAAAACACACACATATTCGTCTTTATTTTACCCCCAAATACAGAGTATCCGCTTTTCGAATCGACGCTTCATACACTTGACTCGCCTAAGAAAACGGCTCGCGCAGTCTAGTCAAAAGTGGAAACGCGGAACTACGATTCGATTTGGGTAATGAGGAGAGAATTGGTGGAAGGAAGCTGTAAATGAAATGGATTGAATTATGGGAAATACTTCGTGTTGAAACAAAAGAGTATTGTGGAGAGAAGAGCAGAAGGAAAGCTGCTGCTCTCCCTTTTCCAGTATTCCCATGAGAGGCATCAGCTCAGTTAAATTCAGCACACGCTTGATGCCTTCAGCAGGCTACGAATATATGATTGAGACTTTCGAATAGCGATACAATTCGCCTAGAGACACGTCGAATCGATCCAGTTGATGATTTACACGCCCATTTCCTGGTTATGAACAATATGGGTGGCTGTGGCTAGGAGGATTCGATGAGAACTCGATGTTTTGAATTTGTTGAGAACTCTGGCACAGACCAAATTGCCTGTGTTTGAGAATGAACAGAGCGTGAAAACCTAAGTTCAATCATCGTTGTGGCGATCGGAGTACGCATTGACACACTTGCACTGCGAGATTGGGCAACAAAACCGCGGTATACGTCGAGATCGATCTCGCGATAAGGGAAACAAGGGCGATGTCGCAACGAAGGGCTCGTACGAGGAAATGAGAATTGTCAGGTGCTTCTGCGCGTATCCGCAATGCTGAACGAAACTCTTTCCCGAACTCGCTCCTACAGGACGTTTCGATCACTCTCTCCACGAAGGATATGGATGGTATTGCATCGGAAGTGATTGTGAAGCCAGTATTGAAAGATGGTGCAGAGGTAGTGTTTCCTCTGCGCATTTCAAAACCGATTCAAAGTGTAAAGGCGAGCATTACCGCGTCCGTTGTGACGAATAATGGAGTGAAGAAGCAGTTGTCGGCTTCGTTAGATTTGGTTTCTACCAAGTACAATCCAAAGCGCAATCTGAACATTGAGGAAATCAAGCCTTCATACTCTCTGTTCAGAAAGAGAACCTCGCAGGGAGTGGAGTTCTTTGTGTATGCATCCGGTCCTGCAGGCAAACCATATCCCATTCTGCCTATGAGTGTGAAGTTGAACCACCTCTACAGCACATCGATATTCCAATTCTCGCTGGAAACAGAAGAGAAGGGAGAGGTTTCGCTGGGTCTTCTCCGCAATATCACCCGAATCGATGTGAATGGAACTGTGTTCCCGCCTCGTTTCGAAAGCTTCAAAGTAAAAAAGAACTGGGAAGTGGCTGAGAACGAAAAGATTCAAGCTCTGATTCCTCTCATCAGCGATAATTTGAATGGCTATACTTTGGTTTTGCGAATCGAGTGAAAACGAAATTGAATCCTTGCAATCTTGTTTGGCAAGGGTCGATAGCTTTGTTTTGATTTACAATCTGAAGCCTGGAAAACATAATATGTGTTGTATGTTCGAGATAGGAATGGAGTTTTGTACACGATTCGAATCAGCTTTTGATAATCGCAAAACAATAATGAGACATTTTGTAAAAACCTTATGTGTTGCTCCTCTATGTTCAATAATTGCATTTTCTTTTTGATCAATAATACACTATCCATCCTACACATTAAAATGTATGTTTTCAAGTCAATTCTGCTTTCATACTAATACTTATATTTATATATCCGTTTATCTTATTCCATGATTTGTTATTGTATTCCTTATCAGTTATCTTTAGCTATTTACACAATCAATCATTTTGCATCAATTTGGTTTTACAACTCTACTTCTTCACAATATCGTACATTCAACCAGATTTTAGACTTTTCTTCTTTATTAGTTAAACTGGTTTTTTGTACCATAACAAATCACTTAACAACAATATTCCTTATGAATCGGCATCTATCACGATCATATACTATTTATTCCACTATTATTCTCAACTCTACTCGAAATGATTTCGATGAATCTATCGGAATAACCAGGATAGTTTGACACATTGAAGATTTGGAATATTACATACAATTTTCAGTCAATGATTCATACCAGCTATTTCTATCACAAAATAAGTAACAGCAGAAACTCACTTTTTCCTTTTGAATCAATTAGATGTGTTGATTTGGATGATCTGCAA